ACAATTTTTGGGGCAATTTCCCCAGACCACCATCTTGAGATGGGGTGTTTGCTCGGCCAGAGCCGAGGTTTTCGACCCATGTGACCAAATTTTCTCTTAGGGTAACTTTCCTCATCGGCATGATTTTCCTCGGCTCCCAGCCAGCAACTCACACCCTCCAGAAATCGACGCCCGGCTTCAAAATTCTTGGGGTCATGCTCTCGGAGGGCGCAATTGCTTGGCCGGAGCAAGGATTTCACACCACTTTGAAACCTCTACGGTCACATACCAAGATTTCGAGGTCATTTTCCCAGACGGCATGATTGCTCGGCCGCAGCCAGCAACTCACGCCACTCTGAAATCGACACGGTCAGACACCAAGATTTCGAGCTCACTTTCCCAGACGGCACAGTTGCTCGGCCGCAGCCAGCAACTTATGCCTGTCAGATATCGAATTCCAAAATTCTCGCAGCTTAGGTCCAAGTCAGGTCAAGTTCAGCTACTTTCCAAGCACTCAGTAAAGGAACCATACCGGACTTAACCTAACCTTGAAGTCCCTCGCTTTAACGTGCAGCATGACTTTCCTTGCTCCCAGCCAGCAACTCACACCCTCCATAGATCGACTCCCGGCTTCGAAATTTTTGGGGTCACTTTCCGGGAGGGCGCAATTGCTTGGCCGCAGCAAGGATCTCACGCCACTCTGAAATCGACACGGTCAGACACCAAGATTTCGAGATCACTTTCCCAGACGGCATGATTGCTCGGCCGCAGCAAGCATTTCACGCCACTTAGAAATCGACACGGTCAGATACCAGATTTCTCAAGCCAAGTAATCGAACCTTACCGAACTGGACCTAACCTGAGGTCCCTCGCTCTTACGTGATCACTTTTCTGATGGCACAATTACTCGGTCACACCAAGCATCTCACGCCACTCAGAAAAGTGATCGACGTAGACTATCTGACGAAAGTATACGTTTTGCACATATCAGCTCCGAGACAAATCCCTTCAGTGGAGGTCGAATGCCTGGCCAGAGCCAAGGTTTAACCATCCACAAGTGTTGTGGGCATGCAGAAGCAAGTTTGCCGTGCCCAAGCCATGCTCCCATCATCGTCCATGGCTGGCAGTATGCCTTCGAATCAAAACGTGCGCTCGACTTTTCTGAGAAAAGTCTACTTTCACAGACCCTCTGCGTAGACTTTCTGACAGTAGGCTATCTGACGAAAGTCTATGTTTTGCACATATCAGCTCCGAGACAAATTCCTTCAGTGGAGGTCGAATGCCTGGCCAGAGCCAAGGTTTAACCATCCACAAGTGTTGTGGGCATGCAGAAGCAAGTTTGCAGTGCCCAAGCCATGCTCCCATCATCGTCCATGGCTGGCAGTATGCCTTCGAATCAAAACGTGCGCTCGACTTTTCTGAGAAAAGTCCACGTTCACAGACCCTCTCCGTAGATTTTCTGACGAAAAGTCTACGAAAAGTCTACGATTTGTACATATCAGCTCCGAGACCAACTCGTTCAGAGGAGGTCGAATGCCTGGCCAGAGCCAAGGTTTAACCATCAACAAGTGTTGTGGGCATGCAGAAGCAAGTTTGCCGTGCCTTAGCCATGCTCCCATCATCGTCCATGGCTGGCAGTATGTGTCCAAGTCAAAATGTGCGCTCGACTTTTCTGAGAAAAGTCTACGTTCACAGACCCTCTCCGTAGATTTTCTGACGAAAAGTCTACGAAAAGTCTACGATTTGCACATATCAGCTCCGAGACCAACTCGTTCAGAGGAGGTCGAATGCCTGGCCAGAGCCAAGGTTTAACCATCCACAAGTGTTGTGGGCATGCAGAAGCAAGTTTGCCGTGCCTTAGCCATGCTCCCATTATCGTCCATGGCTGGCAGTAAGCGTCCAAGTCAAAATGTGCGCTCTACTTTTCTGAGAAAAGTCTACGTTCACAGACCCTCTGCGTAGACTTTCTGACAGTAGGCTATCTGACGAAAGTCTACGTTTTGCACATATCAGCTCCGAGACCAATTCCTTCAGTGGAGGTCGAATGCCTGGCCAGAGCCAAGGTTTAACCATCCACAAGTGTTGTGGGCATGCAGAAGCAAGTTTGCCGTGCCTTAGCCATGCTCCCATCATCGTCCATGGCTGGCAGTAAGCGTCCAAGTCAAAATGTGCGCTCAACTTTGCTGAGAAAAGTCTACGTTCACAGACCATCTCCATAGACATAGCCCTCCGACGGATGGCCCGACACCGTCAGGGGCTATAGCTTGCCTGATACCTCTTTTGACCACAGCGAGAATCCTCGCAGGTTAGGTCCAAGTCAGGTCAAGTTCAGCTACTTTCCAAGCACCCAGTAAACGAACCATACCGGACTCAACCTAACCCTGAGGTCCCTCGCTTTAACGTGTAGCAGAGGACAAGGCCTCTGCCACACACATAGCCCTTCGACGGATGGCACGACACCGTCGGCGGGCTATAACTTGCTTGATACCTCTTGCTACAAGCTATAACTTGCACCAGACACCATTGTCAAGGTCTTCACAGAGCTGGACAACCGCTGCACTCGTCAACGATCGTCCGTCAGGCTGTCTCAGACAGCCACAGCCACCGGGACACTGCTGGTGTCCCGGTCTAGAGCTTGATACCTCTTTTGAACACAGCGAGAATCCTCGCAGGTTAGGTCCAAGTCAGGTCAAGTTCAGCTACTTTCAAAGCACTTAGTAAACGAACCATACCGGACTAGACCTAACCCTGAGGTCCCTCGCTTCAACGTGCAGCAGAGAACAAGACCTTTCTTATCAGCTTTTCGAATTACAATTTCGTCGTTATCTCGTAATTGCTTTGCTGCCAGGCGTAGAGCTGGGGTAAGGGCTTTTGAGGTCGATGAGCCACGCTGTTTGGTGGCTTCGGCGCGTAATTGGTCTTTTAGGTCAGGGTTGATGTTAATTTTACCTTCATTTTTTAGTTTCAAAAGAGAATCATATAGCATTTCGAGTTCGATTTTCTTCTTAGTTTTGCTGAACTTGGACATCAAATGACAATTAAGTCCGAGGTTTAGAAGTTCCTTTTGCTCCTTGCTCAGAGTGTGGGAGGAGAGGTTGATGAATCCATCGGTAGTATTCGACTCTTTTGACCACAGTGAGAATCCTCGCAGGTTAGGTCCAAGTCAGGTCTAGTTCATCTACCTTCAGAGCACTCAGTAAAGGAACCAAACCTGACTGGACCTAACCCTGAGGCCCCTCGCTTCAACGTGCAGCCGAGAACAAGTCCTCTGCCACACACATAGCCCTTCGACGGATGGCACGACACCGTCGTCGGGCTATAACTTGCTTGATACCTCTTGCTACAAGCTATAGCTTGCACTAGACGCCATTGCCAAGGTCACCATAGAGCTGGACAACCGCTGCACTCGTCAACGATCGTCCGTCAGGCTTAATTTAATTTGATTTTCGATTTTGAACCGTATCTATAATACTTTTTGTATGAACTTATGTCATGTCCAAATTTCAATTTTTAGCGTTGTAATAACTGTTCACTTGCTTGATAATGAATATTGATATATTCGAAACGTCGCACTGCAATAAAATGTCATTCGGTAATCTACTTTTTGATCTCCAAGCGCCAGCTAGAAATTTCGTTCGGCTTATCGAAAAGAACAATAAGAAAATCGTAAATAAAAAGTACGCTCTGGTCTTCAACCAAACCTGCATAAATTATAAGATAGTGCACCATGATTACAGAATCGGCTAATATCTTGCCCTATACATAATAGATCTTACAATGTGGAACAAACTCTAGATGAAGCATTATAATTAGTTAATACTGCGGGCATTTAAGCTAAATTAGTTCATTTTGCTCAGTCTCAGGGAATCCTGAAGGAAGCTGATTTTTCTAAATTAAATTAAGTTTTTTTAATTAAAATTTTACTTGAGTGCAGGAACCAAAAAAAAAATAGAAGCTCACTTGTGAACTTAAGCCGAATGTAGGCCTCCTGATCGAAGATAAAATTTAATTTTACTAGATCTTTATACATTAATTTTTCACCTCAGGGAACTAAATTTGAGTTTTCGGCATTTATTATGAGAGGGCAATCAATTTTCGGTAAAAATGAGGAGAGAATGAAAATAAATATCATATTTATGAAGATATTTCAGGATATGGGAGGCAGCGAGACAGAGTTAAAATTAAGTTCCATTTTATTAGAATAAATTGAGGCGTTTTGGCACATGATTTTTGCTAACTATATTAAAGTGAAGTAAAATTATTTTCTACACACGACACTGCATGGCACAGGAAACTTTTTCTTACGTTAATAAACACTAATTAGCAATCATGCAGCTTGCGCATAGCTGGCTCAAGCCGTCATGAAAAATGGTTACAATATTCATACATGCATTTTGTCGATTAGGACATTTTGTGAAGTTTCAATATTACAATGCTTACTGTTTCAATATTCAATATTACAATGCTTACACTTTTTAGCTCTTAAACCTATACTGCGCCTGGATGGTACAATGTTCGATATTTTCAAAATGTGTTGCTTATGGTAAGCATTTTTACAGTCATATCACTAGAATTTTGCCCAAAATAGTATTGTTCCTATGAATTTAAAAACGCTAATTGTGTCAACAAATCAAACTTTTCCAGCATTTAAATTATGATTTCCATTACAGAGCGTCGTATATTCATCACAGAAGTCAAGAATATATTTACAGAAAAATGCGGTAAAACACTTGAATTTCATTCCAGGTACATAATTAATTGGCAATTATGGCTAAAAAAATTTAAAACCCACCTTGTAGGAAATTTTTAAGGTCGAGTGGTAAGAAATATTTACCTACTACGGGATTTATGTCCCGTTCGTGATGACGCTTTTGTTCATAGCTTCTAATTTCACTTGTTTTAAAATTAGGAAGATTTAATCAACATAAAAATAATACAAGCTAAAATTCTTATTTAATCGACATCGCTGAAAAAATGCAAAAATTCCCACGACTGTTGTCGTAACTATGATTATTTACTACACCATAAGCGACACACCTTCCTGTGACGCAGTATGGTCACAAAAAATAATAACAATAATGATAATAAATACGAATAGCAGAGATTTTTACAACAGAAATTTAGTGATCACTTGGTCATCCACTATCATCAGCGGACGGTGATTGCAATCGAACATCCGGCACCGCTCCCCGCAATCTTCCAAATTCAGACCTTGACAGAAACTCGAACCTCGCGGCGTAGTCGAGGGCTTGTGGTGTCTCGGGGATGGAATTATCCACGTAAGGTCTGGTGGTTAAAGATAAGGGAGGTAGAAACATTGGTGGAATAACCGATGGGTAGTGAGCGTTGATAGGAAGCAGAGACGAGTGCGCAGAAATATTGCGATGAAGGATGTGGTCCTGCAGAAGTGCAGGTCGACTTGTGAAGATTGGGTGTTGATGCGAGCCTGGTGGTAAGATGTTGTGGAAGGGCAGAGGAGAAAATGCTGATTTCAAACCTCCCAATGAAGGTCGTGATGGGAACGTAACTTCTGCTGGTGTTTGGGCATCGCTACATGAAAGGTTCACTGATGGTCGCATCGAATCTCGTTTTGAATGATCGGAAACTGATAAAATGTGTTCAACAGCTCGCAGCAGATCACCATTGCATCCCTCCAGCACAAGGCTGAGAACACCAGGCCGCTCATTAGGAAAAATCTTTGAGAGAACCTCGACTCCGGGGAAATCATTTTTCTTTTCTGGCTCTTCTTCGAGGTACGCCCGTTCCTGCAGAGAACTCTGTTTAGCTACGGTGACTCCGGCTGTACAAGTGCGGGCGTCAAACAAAGTTTCTTCTGTTTTTCCAGTTTCCGAAACACTTGGCGGTGATATGTTGGTTTTTGAGTTGAAAACATCACTCCGGGAAACAGTTGTCGATGAATTACCCTCAGGAGAGACGAGGTCATTAGCGCTGCATAACTGAGGGTTGTCGAGGTCGCCTTCAGATGGAGTTGGCGGTTCTTGGTTAGCCATTGCAGAGTTCTCAGAGCTGCCAGAACTGTGGCTACAGTCCAATACCTCCACCGGCGCTTCCTTGTCAATCTCTGCAACGAATTAAGTGGAAAAAATATTCACTGAGGGATACTTACTTTAATAATTTCTTGAACTCGAACTAATATTACGACGGAGAACACAGTAGTAAGGGATAGCACTATTTAGAAATTTTAACTAAATCTAAGCGTGCGTTTTGTTTCTTGATAAATTAATGAATATCAAAACGTTCTAGTCAAGCTGGAGAAAACACATACCAAATAAAAAGTCTCTGATCAAAATGGCAATTAAAATTCTCGAACAAGCAAATGGAAAATGATGATGCATATTAATGATGAAAATACATGAAAATCGGTCTCCAGTTTTTTATTAAACAAAATTAATGTACCTCCAAGTAGTAATACAAACAATATATATTTACAGTCTTTGATTGAATTAGTGACTATACATACCATATTGAAAGCCATGAATTCTAAAGAGAAATCACAAATAAGACACGACTGAAGTTAAGTAGGACTGTCACGCTACTAACGTAGCGTTCTTCACTCTATAGCCGTCACGGTCGGCGATGTTATGAAGATAAACATGAGATGAAGCGAACACATTTGGACGCTCTTAACTAGAGCAAGGATTACATTCTTTGTTTGTCTGTGTCACACCAGGTGACCAGAAGCAATGTTAACCAAATTAGTTTAACCCATTTTAACATATCTTGAATTATGTTCTCACTACCAAAATGATAATGATTGCGCAGCCAGCGGGTGCCGATGATTTTTTATTTAGGTTCTTATCACATTCGTAAATAATCGAAATATTACGTCCATTTTTTGTTTGATATGGGTAAAAGAGTATAAATGAGCAATATAAAAGTTTAAACAAGAAATTAACATTAAAATGAAGCCCCAAATTTTTTGTTAACAATAGGTACAATGAGTTTTATCCGAGTTCTAGCTTTTCCTTTCACAAACCAAATATTTTTTAGAGTCCATATATGGGAAACTGTCTATTTTGTCAATGAAATATCATAACTTGAGATATTGAACTTCCCAGCATCAACTCGGAAAGGAATGATGAATGATTGACATTCGCGAACAATATAAACAACCCATATGCCATGCATATTTTCATCCGTTTAATTTCAGCGAGATCTCAGCCTGATGACTTAAGATCTAATTTTGATTTTACGTCTCGAGTTCGTTGTAATGGACGCGTGACAGATGCAGTGCAATTCTTAAGTAGCTCTTAGGCGTAACTAAACACTTAAATTCCTAGGAGCAACATGGGTATGAAAATACAACGCAAGAGTGGCGTTCTCCGCTTAGGTTCAACAGAGGAGTTTTTATCTCTTGATTTATAAATTTATAAATCTCGTAATAATGCAATGTTAGGAGCAATCAAGATGATTTCCTAAAGGAAGTATGACGCTATTTTCTCATAGCTTTCGATTTACGAATAGATTATATCTTTAAAGTTAAATTTCCCGTTAGTTTTGTCAAAAAACGAACAGAAATTTGGTTAATAACAACTAATACAGTAGCTGCACAAATGAAAGAGCGAAAAAATGTTCTCCAACAAACATGGGCATAATATGGCAATAAAATTTCCCAATGCAATGATGCACGGATACAATTTTGCTTAGGAAAATCAGGAACTAAAATTGGCAATGCAGCATTTTGGCTTGAGGAGCATTCCCCGAAAAAAAATAAATAAAAACAATATTAATGAAAACCTAATCAACCTGACTTGACTCTCTGGTTAGAGATTCAATTACCTAAGTTATTCAGTTCAGTTTGATCGAAATCTAATACAAATAAATAAATAAATATTTCATGTTGGAAAGTGTCTTATCATAATGAAATTGTGACTCAGCTAACAGTTGACTAGGACTTGAGGTGAGTTAGCTAAAAATAATGAGTGCATCCATTATTTTTAATGGCGAACTAATTGAATGTCGTAACGGACTTGGCACAAGCTGAATTGCATCGGCTATGTCAATGACTGAGATTTAGGGTGGTGCTAGTATTTCTACATTTTCATTGAATTAATTTCGTGTTTTCATTTTTCTATCACGGACACCCCTCGACTTATTCATCTTCAATGTTGTTGATTTTTATCCTCTTCTATTTGGTGAACACACTTTACAATAATTACCATTTGTTAACGGTTTGTGGGACCATACCCATGTTTCTACTCAATAATCATTATTCAACAGCTATGGGTTACAATTAACTGGGCAACTCGGTGACGGGCAGCCTGAAGATTGATTCCATATTCACCCCTCCAATAATTATTATTCAACAGTTATGGGTTTCAACTGACCGGTCTGTTGGCTGGTCTCGGAGACGGGCAGACTGCATGAAGATTGTCCATATTTATTCACCGCTCTAATTATTATTATTATTTAACAGTTATAGGTTACAACTGACCGGTCTGCTGGCTGGGCTCGGTGACGGGCGGCCTGAAGATTTAGTCCATATATATTCACCTCTCCAATTATTATTATTATTATTTAACAGCTATGGGTTACAATTAACTAACCTGTATGTTGGCTGGGCTCGGTGACGGGCAGCCCGAATATGGGTCCGGGCGGTAGGAAGTTGTACGAGGAGCCCGTGGCCGCGACGCGGAACGTCAACGCTAACGCGTCCTCGGCCGCCTGCTGCCGCTTCAGCGCGACCTGCCAACGCGGTTAAGGGGATACTCAGTTAATAATTATTATCTTAAAATAACAGCTGATTATCCGCGTTTAATAGATAATCAGATAAAATGAATCATTTATTGACATATATAGAAAAATATAACTCAGTACTCACTGCAGTGAGTGACAGAGAGCGCATTTTCTCGTCGACGAAAACTTGAGGTCACGGATGGACGGACAGACGGACAGACAGACAGACAGACAGACGGACATGGCGAGCACAATAGTGCATTTTTTCCATAAATGTGAAAATGCGTAACTATGCTTGATTTATGACAATTTTTATGTATTTACTTCTACTATATAATGTTACGAGTTTATAAACTGAAGTGCATCTCTCATGAATTTATGAATTCCTTCATATATTTTTCGTTGATAAAGTAAAATTTCCATGAAATTTTGTTAAAAGTTTTTATCTTGTAAATTTATTTGCAAATTATTCATGTTTATCATTCTCACTTCATGATTCATGTTCTATAAAATGAATAGTAAAAAGCCAGCCAATTTCAACACGCATATGAATTTGTACATCCCATGCCCAATTACGTGCATTTGGAGGGTAAATTGGGAAGAGCCTATTACTGCGTTCAAACGCAAAATGCCTTTATTAGTGGATGTGAGTATTGCCTCATTATAGAATAGATTTGTAGAAATAAGGTAGAAATAAAAATTGATTACAGGTATTGTCATACAACAAAATAATGTACACATTTCCCAACTCTCTTAAGCTACGAGAAACTGGACTGCATGAGAAATTTAATTCAAATGAAGAAATATTCAGCAATAATTTGTGGTCCGATGAAGTTTTGATGAAAGGCAAGTTTGTTAATTAAAGTTGATTGAAGCGTTTAAGATATTTAAAAAAGATAAAGATTACAGTATGCGAACATTTAAATGCTAAATCTATAAAAAAAATCGATCTTATAACCGGACGGTAACCAATTCATTTCATTAGTGAGAGATATTAAGCATAACTGAAGATCTAGTCTTAGATAGATTATGACTAAAACAATTGATTTTTATTTCCTTAACACGTTGACTATGTATTGGTACATATAAGCGTACCACGAAATGTAATTCTCCAGGAGGTAGTGGTACATAATTCAGGTTGCCTAAAATCGGCCAAATCCGAGAACAAAAAAGGCTAAAAAAGGCCGATAATTCAATGTATACTAGTTTATTTGTAGGTTCCGCTATAAAAACTCCATTTATTTTCTTTTTGCAGTATTTAAAATTTAATTAGGAAGTACCCTTATCATAAATTTTAGCCGGTCAACGCAAGTGAGAAAAACTAAATCACGGAATTTGTCCGGAAAAAATGACCGTCTGGCAACCCTGCTTAAAAAAAGTACAAAAAAATGAAATAATTGTACAAGATGCAGCAATCGTAGGCAACGTGTTAATTTGAGACAGATCACTATAACTGAATTTGATTTGCAAAACTCAAAAAACTAGACTTTTTCTCCAACTGAAAAAAGCAATTATTTTAACAAGTAGGTTTCTGTTTCTAAACTTTTGCCCACCTGAGCTGCCATGACTCTTTGTCTCTCAGCAATTAGGTTGCATCTGACACACGTACAGTCCTTGAATTTACAGTGGCGCTTGTGTCCCTTCAGCCAGCTGATCATGCCGTGGTTCCGACAGCGCGCACATTTCGGTTTCCGCCCGCCTTTTTCATTCTGCGGATAAGGCGAAGAAGATGGCAACGGAGAGCAGCTCAAACTTGACATGGTGACCGTGGTGCTGGAACGCATGTTGTTCATCTGGGCCAGCGAGGGAGATGTCATTGAGGGGTTCGAGGTGTCCATTGTGATGGAACCTTCTTTGAGAGTTTTTAACAATGTAAAGACTGAAATGAGCAATAAACTGGACTACCACTGAGGTAATCTTATCGATTAAGGATCTTGCGATTTTTCACGAATCTTCGAAAATAATCTGAAACTTTCGAGTGAAGCCAGTGAGAGCAGTCAAGTGACGAAAGCAAGTGCTGCAATGTTATCAATCAGTCGAGGAGTTTCGCAGAATTAGTTTGTTAAACCAGCAAAAATCTCAACCTCGTCATCAAATACAAATTGAATACGAGCCCAAAACTTCTTTCTTGTCAGAAATTAGCTGCAGGAAATTAATCAGTCAAAACCACAACTTGCTTGAGCTTTGTACTGTTTCACCGTTTATTCTTAATTTATTCAGTGTTCATCAAAAAAGAAACGTAGATGCGCTCATTTCATTTCGTAAATGAATTCATCTTTAATAGCGTTAACCGCGCTGCAAGTCGTATTTCATTGTTGAATTTTTTGATGATGCATAGTATCTTTAATACCGATGCCTTTCATCACTATAAAACTTTCCTCCAAACGAGCACAGAGAAAACTATTTGCTATCCTAGTTCTATGCAAAATCTGTCAGGCACCGCAACCTTAAAATCTCGACGCACTTGCACCCTCCACCGTGTTCGTTCCGTCGTCGGCTGCACGCGAAGAATGGCCATAAATCAGCGAGTCAACGACTAGTTACTCACCACCTTGTCACAAGACCGCATGTTCCTGCTCACATGGTAGACTGAGTTAAACGCACTCATTTCATGCTTACACAAAATTAGATCTTATGCCTGAAGTCTTTATGGCTTCGCTAAATGCGCGTCCCCATGTCTTGGAGACTCGTGGTTGGGCGGAGAAATAGTCTTGGGCCAATGTCAGACCTGCCCTTTGTTTTGCCAAGCTTCAATTGGCAGAGACAAAGCCCCTTAAGGGAATGCATGCCTTTCATTGGCTCTGAGCTTCCCTCGTTTTCTCTGGTGTGTAATTCGATCGACGAGGAACATGACTCTATTTGCCTCACGTCAATGCAGCGTTTACTTTTGAGACACTGAAACGGCTTCGTTTGGAACTCCTGTGTCTTTTTTAGTGTTCTTCTGCTTGATAAAGTTGTTGGGCAGCTAATATGTTGATATTTTTGCTTACCAGTTCTGCGACAACTCGTCAGCTAATTCGCCCAGAGTCGAAATATTTTTAGAAGATTTGCCACCACTAATGATACTCATCCGTATACCATTCAGCAGCTTGAAAATTAATAATCTTAATTTTTCAATGCAATATGCATGAATAATTACATTTACGTTCTATTTATTGATCACGAATGAGTGTTGTTGACTTACAATTATGACTAAGAAACATACATATGTCCCCGCAACGAAATCTTTCTAAACTAATATACACAATCAGAAATCAACTAATGCCTGCACTACAACAAACCTTATTAAAACCCTAAAAATTATTCCATATTAACAACAACAACAACAAAAAAAAACGAAATATCGGCTGGCGAAAAAAGTCTTGGAATTATTATTAGAATTGCTTGCAAAAAGAACCCTCTCCAATCATGCCTGATGCAGTATTGGTTTATGGGAAGATACTTTTTTTCGTCCATCAGTGGGATATAAAGAAGGATTGGTTTGAACGGCCGCCTCATCAGTGTCGCGTTACATCATCATTCAGCCCATGACGTAGCCAGAGAGTCCTTCTCTGTAGACTCAACGAGATCTGACTTCTGCCCAAAACACATCTTGTGGGATCGATACACCTTCATATAGCGATGTATATCTTTGAAGCTATTTCCCAAGTATTTTGTAAAGAAAACATAACACGGAATCTACAGCCTTATGTTCTGATGGATATTTTAAACTTTTGGAGGTTCACGAGAGATAAACCAAAAACATTCAGTTTGTGTTATTGATCGCAAAGTCGATATAACTAAGGGCAATTTGCACACTTATCATATGTTAAAATGATACCCAACTTTGAAAAAATAGCTCTTTAAAAATTATAGGGTAACGTGGGGCAGCGCGCCCCCCACTTTTTTTAAACTAAAATTTTGACGAAGTTTTAATTGATACGAGGTGGTTCTTTGTTTTGTTTAAAGGTGCAACTAATGAGGAATGTATGATGTGAATTAGGCGCCTATAGAGTTATTCAATTTTTAATGAAACATTATTTTGTAATTGAAACTGTCGACCGGCGGTAGAGAACACGGACCAATATCTGCCATACTTAGCGAGAAACCCGCTATGGGCCCGTGACCCGCAGTGGGCTCGCTGCCCCATGTTACCCTACCGTTCACTACAAAAAAAAAATCGTACATCACAATGCATTTTGAAAGTAATGAGAGTGGAACCGGATTCTGGATGTAATCAATTAATTTGAAGGAGGATACTACTCGTATATGTACGTCCTCAGTCACATATATGCTTGGAATACTTCAGTCGCGTTTTGCGTTCAGGATACCGATACTTGAATTGGTTCAGAAGATCCCAATTTTGAATTTTATTTTAAAATAAATTAATCTGAATTGTTAAATAATATTATTGATAAGATGTCATAGAAGAATTAGATTTTAGTATATTTTTATATTAAATTGTTTTTTGACGTTAAAAATGCAGCTAATTTACGAAATTCCAGAAAGTGCTTGATGAAATTATTTCAAACTGAAAACTGAAATATGTTACAATTTATAAACCACGCGCCATCGAGAAGTATCAATTGCTAGGGGTCGTATCAATGATGCACCATTGATACGATGACTCATTCAGAGAAACACATTCAAACTGAGGCAAAATATCTTATCCGAAATAAATAATATTTAAAGGATCTCAGGAAATTTTTATATCCATCCATATATATTTTTATATCCACCCGTGAATTTTCTATTATTAATTGATAATGATGTTGTATTCAAATTTAGGTATGTATAGTCATGGATCGTCACAACAGAAACTGTACTATGCATTTAAAATTTCTCGATAGTAAGTGTACTTTAGCATATATAATTAAAATAACTACATAGTAACTAAAGGGTGTCATTTATGCCTAACTACTTTATGTGATGTAAACTTATATTAGCTTTATGCATGTATATTGTACTGTATGTACTAATATAAATATATCTGAACTATATGCACCATGTAATTTTACTGTAAATATGATGGACATATATGGACGACGCGTTATATAGGACCCGATTGATGACGATAATTAATATGTCCAAACTTTTTTTGTTTTAATTTAATAAAGAGTTTAAACTTGTATTGGCACTTCAAATGGTGTAGTCAAAGCGCTCAATCTCGAGTTTAAAAGTTCAAGCTTCAAATTGGTATATACATTTACCTTATAAGAAATCTGTTAGAAATTTGCTTGCGTTCAATAAGCTGTCAAACTACGGTGAAGAATTAACAAAAAAGCAACAGCGCAGAAGACTCATGAAGCGATGCCTTTGCAAACAGGATTCGTTTCTCGCCAAACAAATTGTCTTCCGGTGAGTGTCATTTCTTTCAGACCAAAGAAATCAACATGTTTGGTCTGAGCGCAAATGACTGGACGCAGAACTTCAGTGTCGAAACCATCATCAATATTTGCGATGTCCTCGCGTTGATATTTGAAGAGTAATTTCCTGTTTAGAGTAAAGCAACAGCGACCAAATGCGAAAGTTTGAGGAACATTGGTGCGCGAGCAGATAACCTATAATCAAGGAATTGAATGCTTGCCTGGTATTTTGGTTTTTTTTGTAATCCAAGATCATCAGGTGATCTCTAATATATTTTTAACGTGAATTTACCGACCTTCTAAACTTTTTTTTTTAATAAATTAGTCTAAAGGTGTTCAGAAACTCGAATAAATGTTGTAATGTAAAATTTTGGAAAAAAGTTTAAAAATCTATAATTGGCATCATCATCAAGACATACCATGCATATTATTCAGCTGTACTTCACGTTCTAAAAGCGAGAGTAAAATAAAATTTAATTTTTTTCGTGCGGGTTGACCGACTGATCGATAGTACTGTACACCACGTGAGGCACACATGTACTAGGGCACCCGATGTTCACAATAAGATGAACTTGATTCCTGCGGGCACTTGAGATGGGTCGGGTTACAGCAAGTAAGGTAACGGCGCACAGTAACGGGAGCGCGAGGCAGCATCTTATTGCTCGCATCAAGAAGGAAGGAGGCTTTTAAGAATCGCTCCGAGTCTCCGAGTTTCCTTTTTGTAGTCGACTTTCGGTGTCGCGACGTTTTTAAGGTCTTCCGGGCAAACATTTGGGCGAGCGGGCGACATCTCCCAATAAATATTGCAGTCCCCGCATCACGCCTGATTGAGTTAGCGAGCCGCTATGGTGGCAAGCTTACGAGCTGCAGGCTTGAAAACTAAACAACTATCCACGACAATCGGTTAATGTAAATAAATTTTTACTGTAAGCAGAACGTGATCAAGTATAAGTCCCTTGCATAAATGTTGAAATAATTGACAATATTTCTGTCTGCGTTATCCACCATTCTTAAAAATTACAAATGACAGTATTGAAGTCTTGGGAAAAATATTTATATTAAATACATAAAGTATGTACGAATTTAGACAACGCTTAAAATTTTTTCACTGTAATGTAGGATTGAAAGTTTTAAGTCGAATGAGAGAATTCTTTATATAACTTAAGTTATGCAATAACATTATTGGGCGAGGAAGTGACGCAAAATAGCCTGAATGCGACGAAACATATACTGAATCGCCGGCATGCAATCAATGGAATAAGAGTTTAAGTTTGCTGATGATGAAAGTGAGTGCATTAGCTTAAATGCAAAACAAAAAAAATCCCCCTAAAAAAAGTGAGCTAGATGCGCAGTTATATAGTGATTTAATTGGTGCATCAGAGCACACGAATATAAGCCAAAACAAAAAATATAATTCAGTACTCACTGCAGTGAGTGACAGAGAGCGCATTTTCTCGTCGACGAAAACTTGAGGTCACGGACGGACGGACAGACGGACGGACAGACAGACGACATGGCGAGCACAATAGTGCATTTTTTCCATAAATGAGAAAATGCGCTAAAAACATCGTCAGTGAAGAAGCAAATAAAATAAAACAGTCAGTATACAATGAGAGTCACAGAAGTGTGCAAGTTTAGCTCTGCCTCCCACCGAGCTGTCACTCACTAGGAGCTGCGTAAGGGTGAGTAGCTTTCACTGTCTTCACGTTGTGTTGTCCTACCGATTAGACGACATTGCTGTTGTAAACATTTTATTTGTGGCTATTTACACAAGCGACTCGAGCTGGCTTTCGCTGTGTGAGTATGTATTACATGATTGACAGAACCCAGGGGTGCTGAATAAACTCAGGCTGTAGAACTGTTCATAGAAACACATAGTGAAGTGAGTTAAGCAGTGACTTTTTAGGATATTTCATAGGGAAATAGTTTATGTAACAATTAAAATCTATGATGGCTGTTATCTGCTTATCTTTAGTCAATTTATTGCAGAATTTAACAAACCTATTGGTTTTATCTGGTGTTTTTATACGTTGTTGGCCTAATTAAAATGTTATAAAATTCATTAAAGTCGTAATGTATTTATTATTAATTAAATGTATCACCATTGTTAAATTAACTCATATACCTATTTAGTTTGGGCAAGAAAAAACGGAAGCTGTCAAAAATATTATTTCCAATATTATACCCATATTTTGCTAACGTTTTTTACAAAAATGAACTGAGTTAATGTTTCAATTTCCTAAATCCTTGTTAAGGTAGAAGAATCTTAGACCTCAGATTTCGAAAGGCTTTACGTTTCCACGACGCCAAAGTTTATACTAGGGAGACCGCCTGTGTGGAGTTCGGACAATAAGCGACGTGGTGATGTCGCCTGCGGCTGAAGTCAACAAGCTATCACACTCGCTCTGCCTTTCAATCTCGCAAATACAATCAAGAGTATTTTTATTGGCTTAAGCTTGGCAAAAATAACAACTCGCGCAACTTGTTTGTTCTGCTCACGTCCAGCGAGCTAAGTTAGAGCACCAAGTAAAGATAAAATGACAGTGGACGAGACAAAACGTGGCATTCTTATGGTAACTTTCACATTGTAATTCCTCGTTTTTCAAAACTAGTAATTGACATTTAACGTTTTTATACAATTTCTTATTTATTTAATTATAAAAACCGAGTCTCGTTCCTTGCTGTGATTTTTTCTTACCATTCAATATTTCAAGGAAATAATACGAAAATATGAATCTTTGTACTTCAAGCATTAACAGCAAGTTTATAAAAATGAACTACAGAAAACTTAGCGTGATATCATTCAGGAAGCAGCGTGCGTGTGGTGAATTATGAAGCCAAACTTGCTACTCACACGGGAAAACCATTCAAAATGTTATAATTATCAGTGTATATAAATATTATAATAATTATATAATATCATAAAATATCATAAAACTCACGAAATATCATAAAACTTATCGCAAAGGAAAATAATGCATTGAAATACATTCCAACATAATGAAACAATCAATCGATTTAGAAGTTATGTTATTCAGCTGGTGGTTCGTGATTCCCATTGAAAATATATTGAAATTTATTTGCATGATTTTCTCATAAAATACTAAGGAATTAGAATATCTTCTTTTCCTATTGCTAGAGATGTTTAGCGATGGCGTTTACAAATGGTCTAAAAAACTATTTAATTAGGAGGAAGTTCTAAACCACCTATAAAATTTCATAATAAGAATCACTAGGAATGCCAAAACGGAAAGCCAAAGATCTGAAATTGGAACCAATTTTGATCAAAATATCAATCAAAAGTTTGTAATGTATAGGACCTTGGTACAAACAAACCTTTGCGAAAGCGTTCAAAATAACCTAATGCCATCAATCTCTGAATTTATACATTGCAAACTTATTCAAATTTTGTGCAAGCATGAGTTCTAAATGTTCTCGATATCAGAGAAATAACTCATTTCTCTCATTCTCATTCTAAGAAATAACTCATTTCAGACAGTGCATACGCGATATTACTCTTTGAAATTCGAGTAGACAGAGCGAAATGACCAAAATTAGAACTGCAATATAAGTCAATCGAAATTAGATTTAAAATACGAGTCTGATTTTGAAGCTCGAATTCCAAAATATGACTGAAAAAAGAAAAAAATCATTCTCTACCGTTTACATTTACATCACAGAAAACGTGCTTTGTAACCACACTAAAAGGTGACTGCTACATGTCTGCATTCAAAAAAAGTGGAATTTGCACAGCAAAAAAAGTTGAAGCGGGATAATTGCGTCTTTCTGACTGTTTATTAACAACGATAAATTGACAAAATCTAACGATAACCATCTTCCTGTTGTTGTAATAGACTCAAAGAGCTGTGAAACAAGTGAATATTTTTACTAGCTAAATTATTTATAAGGAATACTTAAATCGAATCAGTCCGAATCGAATCAGCTTTTTATTGAAATTATGAATCAAAATAATTGTTTTACGAATTTATCGTATAACTTATACATAGGATCATCAACGTGATTCATCTGTTGCGATTCATACATAGAGCGGCATTGTACTTGGCTTATGATGGCCATCATTTGGCCCGTCGATTATTATAGTTCCGTTTCTGCTCAAATTTCATTAAAAAATCCACTTCTACTAGAGTAATTCTAAAAGTAATTTTGAATTCAGATATCCATGCCATTCTAAATTAGGTTTAAGATTAGCAACGAAAGAATTAGATCAGTCAAAACTTATTGAAATTTCATGCCATAGTAAATTAAGTTAAATTGCGTAGCAACGAAAGAGTCAGGTCAGTCAAAAGTTGTTGAAATTCCAAGTCATAGTAAAATAAGTTTAAGCTGATAATGAAGTAATAAGATCAGTCGAATGCGATGGAACAGGTAAAACCTGGCGCGGGATTGAGACGCGCAGACGAGCGGAAGTAAAGCAAGGCTGCACTGCTCGCGATCCTGTGTGGAGTAAAGTATTTTTATCGAAGTTTCCTTTACAATTCAATATTTCGATAAATGAAAAACCTAAAACGTTATAAACTTTACAACTTCACCGTTTTTAGATTACTTCGATAAGCAGGCTATTTGAATTAATTATTTATATATATATACATTTACTAAATTTGAAAGTATAAATAAATAAAGTTAAAAGTTACAATCTAATATAATTCATAAGCATATTATGCCTTGATTCCTGGACGTAGTCAAGAAGAATTTATTTCGTGTGCTGCGCAATCAAGTTTTTAATAAATAAATAAATGCAAAGCAAAAAATATAATAATATTCACACGTATAATGTTAAATTTTTATTTCTTGTATCGCGTTACTAAGTTCTCTTACTTGAAAGATTTGCTCAGCCCCGACAACTCGTGGCCACAGAAGAACTTCAGCTCGCCCTCCTGTTCCACCATGAGGTAGTCGCTACAAGCTCCCCGTCGGCGGGACAGAAGCTCGAACGTCTCGCAGCTCACAGTCAGTGATGTGCCGACTGCTGCCTGAAATTAGAATTATTAACTATTAAATAGTTGTATTTTCTTATTTATAAAAGAATATAATTGTCTTGAAGACATTGCAGTATCTTATAATAAATATTTTTTCATTCATCACGTTCTTTAACTATCGTCCTCTGACAAACTAAATGCTCGCTCAAATTCACGAATGGAATCTTATTCAGTTTGTGTTTCCGGAGTCATTATCGAGATTAGAAAGAAATAAATCTACATAGAAACGTATTATAGTATCATAGAATTGCAGAATATGAGTATTTACTGTTGTACTTACTGTTGAAAAGTACCAATTACACTCTGCTTTAATTATTATCATTTGTTGCATGCAGTTATTCACCTACATGTATGTAAATAGCACCGTTGTTGAATGCAAATTGTCGCCATTGTAATTAGTATCATTTTTTGAATGCAGTAACGTCAGTCATAATCATCATTGTACAACTTTGATGCAATATTTTAAATTAAAATATTGTATAATTATGAAGTTATATAAAAACTATCATAATAAACGTGAGGGTTTGCTACAATGAAAGCAAGGCAATCATTGAAAGACTTTTTATCATCAAACAATAACTAAAATATATTTATTCAACTCGACCTGAATAACGTAATTTTTAATATATATTCAACTAGCCTGATATACCTAATGCAAAGGTTAGTCTAACTATTCTAAATAATCTTATTTTGAATTTTTTGACCATTATCATAAAATCCAACCTGCATGGTATACTACTTAATTGCATTACTCTGAGTAATCAATCATTCAATCGCTCACAATTTGCATCGAATTCAAGCCAACGTGATGTGTACCCTTGCACAGAATACGTCGTTTACATTTACCTTATCGTGAATTGTTGCTTAAATGAATGAATTAACTAATGAATGAATGAATTGTTGCTGAACAATGTATTGTTGAGCATCTAGATTCAGATAGTGAATAATGCATTTTTGCACGTTGCATTTCTGTTACTGAACAGCGTGTTGTTGCGCACCTAAATGCAGTTAGTGAACAAGTCATTGTTGCACGTCTCATTGAAGTTATTAAACATTAAATTGTTGAACTTCTAAATTCAGATATTGAACAAGGCGTCATAACACGGATTGTAGCAGTTACATTGCTGTACGCTCATTGCAGGCGAATGTCTTTATATATATGCATCGTGATATGCTCATTGCAAGCAATCATCCTGATGTATCTTAGTAAGCGCTATATCAATCATGACTGGGAGCTGCTATTGTAAGGAATTACACGCAAATGCTCCAGGCTGCACCAGCCCAGGCTGGACCATCTGACCCATGCTCCCTGTCTGGGTAGGCCCTCCCGATAGGTAAGGGTGACTAACACTGCTCGATTTACTAATCTAATTTGAAGTAGCTTGTTGAACTAACAAAACAACCTCAAAGTTTTCAAAGTCTAATCTGGCCTTTTATCCACAGGCCGCTCCAGTCTGGCCATTGCTGACCATCCAGACGTGAGGCGGGTGGTGAACAACCGAGTCCTCATAAAAAAGGATCCGAAGAAGAACAAAGAAGAATTACACGCAAACAACACGCAGCTTATTCAACGTGGATTGCAAATTTTCCGCTCTGTGATCGTTACACAACGCTGGTATTTCGTCTCAACTACGACGTCATAGGACGGCTCTTTCATCGGTCATTGCTTCTGAAACTGCGCAGTTGCAGACAATTATGATTTTTTATGTTTGAAACACGCAACTTTTCCGGAGTGAATGCACGTGCTTTCAGAGTTTGCATGTTTTCTGTTAATGATTTCGCCGATAACTTGCATGAGCTGTCAAACCAAAGCACGCATTTATCATAAGTTTAAAAAAATGCTCTTTTCTACTTGAATTTCATATACCTTTGACTAAAAATGCCGGAGTTTCTTCCATGTCTACATCGTAAGAAGTTGTTCAAATTTTCCTGTACCTACAATGTGTGGGACGAGTATAATTGAATCGGAAAGATAAAAAAAATTAGGTTCGATCTTGAACACTTAAAATGTATGTGAAGCACCCCAGAAGAATTTATCTAGTAAAAAATTTGACGGCCAGTATTCAAAGATCTATTGCAATATCTTTTCATTCCATCAATGAAAGCATGGCTCACTACTTTCAAATAAATATTAATATCGTATATCCGAGCATGATGCAGAGGTGACTATAATAAAAAAACTATATCCTAATCATTAAACAAATCCAGAAATCTTCATGAAGTCAACATTAGTATCAGAAAGATAAATGAAAATTATTTTCAGATGCCTGCTCCCATCTGATCCTACTCAAATGCGTATCCAAAATATGGGGAAAAGAGTCAGGAGATACGTATTAAGTGTGGAGATTTTATATATACCTACTGCATATCCACTATAACAAGAAAAGTCCCACAAAAATACTACGTTCAAATGTAGGAAATACATTCAAGCGTAGTTCGTACCTCGATTTCCCACGCGCACGACAGGTCACGAGGATATGGTTCCGGAAATAGCGGAGTTTCGATGTCGACCATTTCTCCGGGCGACCCGCGCAGCAAACCACCGCACGCGAATATTGGACTGAAGCGCAGCATGAAACCTCGGCCCTCCGCCCCTCCCACTGAGACGTTCAGCGCGACTGTGACGCTGTCTTGGTAAGTGAGATACCTCACCGCCCTCACACCACACAACCTGCAGGTATTTATGCAAGAATTATGATATATATAACGTTATTTGCTTCACCGCTCTCACGCCACAAAACCTGCAGGTATTTATGCAAGAATTATGATATATTTAACGTTTTTGCGGTGAGTGATGAGGCTAGAAGGATTCAGACATGGCTTGCATTCAATCGTTTTTTTATGAGTATATACGTGAAGTAATTACAGTGGAAGAAGCACGGACTGTTATGAATTAAAACGAAGTTGCCTAAAATTTACAGCACATTTCTTTGTTAATTTTTTGTTTCAACTAAACAAACAATTCAATTTAATTCAGAAAATTGTGAATGATTACCGAGCAGCTTTTGAAAGGAAGGTTGGCAAGGAGGCTTAACTTAGTTTAAATTATATATTATATATATATTATATTTCAGTATTATATATATTATATTTCAGTCTTGTTCTCCTGTAAATCTTTTCCCTCAATTTACTGGAATATTAGCGAAACATATAGTATAAAGATTTACCATGCTATTAAGAAATTTTCATCTACACAATTTTTCGAAAACAATGAATATATATTGGTGTTAGGCCAGAAAATTGGTATTGAGCATCGAATGCGTAAATATATAAAAAGCGACGATGGAGCTGGACTCCGAAACATTTGCTATAAAGATATGAATTTTTGTGGACTATTCTTTGCTTTTCAATTTTTAGTTCACCTGCGATTTAAGCAAATAAGTGACATCAATTCATTTATATAAAAAGAAATTCATAGATTCATAGATTCATAGATTCATAGATTCATAGATTCATAGATTTATCTTCTGCATCAAATTTATAGATAATGATTTATCTTGAATATACAAAATAACCCGACGTTTGCGTGATGGCCGTGTTGTCACCCGCGTCGTCCTGGTCGGTGATCAGGAGCTGTGATGAGGCGCACGTCTCATCGTTGTCAGCGTCACTGAGCTCCAGCCCTCCTGACACTTCCAGCCCGTAGTTCTCTAGACCTGACGCCTGGGTAATGATAAACGTTACTTTTGTAGCTTGATGATTGCAAAAGATTCATTGCGAATAGTAACGCCTGAGTTCAGGCGTTACTACGGCGTTACTTTTGAATACGCCTGAACTCAGGCGTATTCAACGGCGTTACTTTTGTAACTCGATGATTGCATATGATTCATTGCGGATAGTAACGCCTGAGTAACTATCTCAGGCGTTTCATTTACTATCTCTTCTTCTTTACACGGCGTTACTTTTGAAACTTGATGATTGCATATAATTCATTGCGAATAGTATTTGATTTTAGATTCAATAATAAATAAAATATTACGATAGGTGTAATTAATAGAAAGTTCTAATGATTAAATTGTGATATTATTACATTGATTTGGTGTACTATGCTGAAAAAAATTGAGATACTTCTATTATGAACATACTTGCACTGCAATCCTCTGGACTTACATCATAAAATAATGATAATTATGAACATACTTGCACTGCAAACCTCTAGACTTACATCATAAAATAATGATAATTATGAACATACTTGCACTGCAAACCTCTAGACTTACATCATAAAATAGTGATAATTATGAACATACTTGCACTGCAATCCTCTGGACTTACATCATAAAATAATGATAGTTTTGGACATACTTGCACTGCAATCCTCTGGACTTACATCATAAAATAATGATAATTGTGAACATACTTCCACTGCAATCCTCTGGACTTACATCATAAAATAATGATAATTGTGAACATACTTCCACTGTTATCCTTCTCTGGACTTACATCATAAAGTAATGATAATTATTAACATACTTGCACTGCAATTCTCTGGACTTACATCATAAAATAATGATAATTATGATCATACTTGCACTGCAATCCTCTGGCTGGTCTTACATCATAAAATAATGATAATTATGAACATACTTGCACTGCAATCCTCTGGACTTACATCATAGAGTAATGATAATTATGAACATACTTGCACTGCAATATTCATCAACAAATATTCATAGAGTAATGATAATTAGGAACATACTTAATAGTATGTTCATAAGATCAATAGATTAATGATTATTATGAACATACTTCCACTGCAATCCTCTGGACTTATGACATAGAGTAATGAGAATATATATATACTTGCGCTGCAATCCTCTGGACTTATATTATAGAGTAATGATAATTATGAACATACTTGCACTGCAATCACTGCAATTCTCGTGACTTACATCATAAAATAATGATAATTATGAACATACTTCCACTGCAATCCTCCAAGTAACGACGCAGTTGCGCGGCAGAGCCCCACCATCATCCAGCAGGTGGCGCGTGTCGAACTGCACGACGTCGCCGACAGCGATCAAGATTTCTGCGCTGTCTCCACACGAGGCGCTCTCTAGCGCAGCCGCGTCTGTACACGGGGAAAAAAATACTGTAAATAACTTCAAGGTAGCAAATTACAATATTTGATCGAACACGAGGCGCTCTCTAGCGCCGCCGCGTCTGTATACACGGAGAAAAAAATACTGTAAATAACTTCTAGGTTGCAAATTACAATATTTGATCGAATCATGGTGAATTTGTGATCTGAAATTATAAAATTATAGCGAGTACAGCTTCTAATATAATTTTTCTATACAGAAATTTGTTCCTCAAAAAAGTATATTAATAAAGTTGGATAATGGCGAGTTAATATCTATAAATGAATGTTCAGTCAATTTCATGGCCGTGATTGATCAGTTAGGTAGAATTTTGTGCTCACATTCAGCCTCTTTGGTCGTCACAGGATTGGCTGCGGCGACGCTGGCCAGGGCAGCTAAGGCCAGTAAAAGGCGTCTCACTGCTCCCTGTATCATTGTAAAATCAAACCATTAATATTTAATGGAAAAGTAGCCTCCCAAAATTCTAGCCAAATAGTAATTACATCCTTTGAATATATTAACTATATGTGATACGTCTAATATATTGACACGTAAATGTTTGTAAGGAGAAAAGAAAACTGTTATTGCAATGTAATTTTTCGAAGATATCATTAGATAACTTATAAAACTCGATCAATAATGATAAGTAATAGGCTTATATGCAAGGATATTTTATCGGACTTTCAAAGGGAATACCATCGAATAGATTTCAAAATTTATACTATTTTTGAGTTAATGTTGTAGTCCCCAAGATGCTCTGAACCACTGAATTTATATAAAATTTCACATAAGAAAATAAAATAAACATACACTCCAGAAAATTCAGCATTTCATTCTGTGGCTTTCGAAATTAGTTTAAAACATTGAACGTCGAACGATCAACGTTGAAAGTTCAATGCCAATAATGATGGGTATAGTACATGCAAAATCAACTCTTTCTAAGTTACAAATATTCATAGACAATATCTGTACACCATATTATTAACACAGAATTGAAAGTGCACGGTATAACGTGAATGAGTTAGTATAAGATTCAACAATATGTTGAAAGTTAAAAAAATACAAGGTTTTCTTCAAGAAACGCGATTCTTTTAATTTTTCGGTTTGCTATTTAATTTATTCCTTTTACCCCAAATTGATATGAAACAAATTACTATCGAAATTTTTAGGGGATTCTTATAAATTTATCAAAAATTTGAGACTAGGTGTCTGCAATATAAAATCCCTTCAAAAATCACGATTAAAAAATAGCATTGACTTGAGTTTGAGAAGTAATATTCAATCAAGTACTTTCCAGTGAATTTAGAAACCGTTATAGTTTTGTGAACAACATAAAAACGTGGAGCAATTTTATTACCATCATTGCAGCAGTGGCACCGAAGCAGCAATGACGTTATTTTGACTCGCGAGCCTCTCACCAAAAGGATAAGGCCTCACGCCTGACCTTCCTCTAATTACAGCCTTTCTTAACATTGTTCAAATGAACCTTAAAGCTGGAGTAGACAGCTGACAGTTCTGAATTGTCTCCTAATATGAAGAAGCATCTAACTTCATGACAGCTGTTTCTTTAATTACAGCTTTTCTTAACATTGTTCACATGAACCTTAAAGCTGGATAAGACAGCTGAAGTTCTGACTTATCGCTCAATATGATGAAGCATCTAACTTCATGACAGTCGTTTCTTTAATTACAGCCTTTCTGCACTAGAAGCTTTTGCTCATTGAAAGCTGAATAAATGAACTCCTTTTTAATTTGAGTGGCACCCGATGAGAGCTCAAACATTCACACCAATTCAAAAAGTCACACCAGTTTAAAAAAATAATTGTGAGAAACGAGGTAGAACAATTTGTAAGATCCTTTAATTATTTTTTTCATGTCATGATGTGAATTTTTCTGAATTTTCTGTAATATTTAAGATTATTGAAATAACATGTCGCTCGCTGCTCTAAAATTTATTTGTTGAAGTATCACAATTGGATTAAGTTTCTAGCTGTAACTTAATTTTCCACCGAGTTTAATTTTGAATGTTGAAACCAATAGATAATTGGGTCTTGCTTTAACGAAGAAAATATCAGAAAAATTTTTTACAGCTCTCACATTTTGTTTTGAAACGGGTTCTAATTATCTGTAAGCTTTGCGCATAATTGAACTCATTTAAGTTCACCTTAAACAATTAAGTATTACATCATGCGTCTAAAGCAGAAATGAGAGAACAAATTGGAGGAGGAGGAAAATTTGTTTGTAGGCCGTGGATGGTCACCTGCCGATGAATCACCAGGAATCAAAAGAGCCTCTGGCCGCAGGTGTTGCAGCAGCTGCCTAAGATCAATCAAACCTTGCAAATGCAAAGAAAATTAAGGTTGCCTCAGCATATTCTTCCTAAGCATGTGAGGTGTGCTCGTGAAAGCCTGCAAAAGTCAAGGTTTTCGGAGGTTTAATTTCTCAGAAAAGGTTTGTATTCTCAAAAAAGGCTTACATTATCAGAAATGGTTTGAATTCTCAAAAAAAGATTTAAATTGTCAGAAATGGTTTGAATTCTCAAAAAAGGTTCAAATTCACAGAAAAGGTTTAAGTTCTCCGAAAAGGTTCTAATTCTCAATGAAGTTTTTCAATAGTAAAGGGAGACTCAATTTTTTCGTAGGCGTTGAATTACAGTAGTTCGAAAACCATAGTCGGAACATCAATTTGGATTATCAATTTAAAAAAAAAAACATCAATTTGGATTTTAAAATTTAGGAATTATGTACTCCCAATTTTCGTTTGTATTACGAAATTGATTTATATTGCAAAAAACTTGTATTCCATGAAATTACGAGAGAAATTGCGAAACCCAGTGATTTGCGAAACATTTTTTCCAATATGCGATGGAGTGCACCAACGGCAGCTTGAGTAACGAGATACGAGGCGCAGAGACGATAATCACAGCGCATGCAAAACAGGTCTTGGTTACTGACGAAATTCTTCCTTAACACACGCAACGACGATGAGAACTTCCGGGACGTGTGATGTCTGCTCGCACCACCTGCAGCAATCATGTGTGAAACAAAGGACGTTATCCCAGTTAACAAAAATTAGAGATAAAAAAACTCCAATCAAAGTAACAGGACATTTCTTAACGAGTTATACAAACTGGCATGACCAACTGTGACGGCACATCATCTGTAAACCATAGGAAATAAATAATTAAATGTTAATTAGGGTCACTACGAGAACTTTTTAAAAATATGTAGTGTTCGATTGTTTCGACATTATTCAAGCTTACATTGTTTCCCGCAATTTACACAAGTCAGTATAGAAACAATTGATTGTTATTGATAAAACAACCTGTCTACATACGTACTGGTATGGCGTTTCTTACTTTCGAAATTACTATGTAGCTAATGTAAGCATTTTAGTAATTTCTCCTAAACAGACTCAACCCAGACTACTTGACGTCAATTAAATCAATTATTGCGTGTCATATCTGACTAACATATACACTGCGTGACAGCCTGGAAGACGCAAACTACTCTTTCACTCCAAGAAAGCGTCGCGCACACACAAGAATGTGATAGGAAACAAACGTTCTCGTGACGCTGTGATATAACTGCTTTGAATATCCTGATAACCCGTCATGGTGGACTGAACTCATTCTAGACTTGAGAGTCCCTGCGTGAAGGTTCTTAGTATAAAAGCGGACTGAGCGAGCGACATCGGTAGTTACAGCCGAACCTCTTCAGTGAAGATATCAAGCTGTGGAATACAACATTTCTATTAAATAAAAGTAAAATGAATTCCCTGGGTTTCGTCTTTAGTTTGGTAAGAATATGGATAAATTTAATACGATGTGCCAAAATATAAGTTATAAAAAGTTAGGGAATAAATAGTCGTGATGAATCGCTTTAGAAAAATTGCAAACTTAAACAAAAGGACCCTAGGATTTTCTTCTCATATTAGGATATGGTTGTATTTATTTTCTTTCCGTTCTTGTGACATATTTTAGAACTTTTAAATTATAAATTTGCTGTTGGAGGTTGCACGTTATAATTGTACTGGTACTGCGATATAAGGTCTCTCATCTCTTCGAGATCCAATCACAAACGTAATGCAAATGCCCATACCCGAGTAATTCATATAAGTTCATTCATGAAATCTGAATTTAAATAAGAGCTTACGATTTTTGTCCAGGCGCACGTTTGATTTTTTCCAAAGTACTCCAGGGTATGTTTATGATTTCTTCACTTATATCATTACCTATCACCATTAGATTTTTTACCTTGTTCCTAGCACAGGTTATATAGGATCGCACCGAGATATTATAGGTTCGAGTCAATTCTAAATGCTTGAAATATTCCCAGTGAATAACACAATAAATTTTTAAACAAATATTACAGTTGACCGTGTCAGCAATGGCGCTGGCGATGCCTCAGTTGGGAGGCGGTAGGAACGATGCTCAAGCGACGATCGTCCGTGATGATCGCAACATAAACAACGACGGCAGCTACCAGTTCATGTACGAGACCAGCAATGGCATCTTCAGGCAGGAACAGGGGCGAGAAAACAACGGCATGGAGCAATCCGGAGGCTGGAGGTACGTATTACGTGTGGGAAAATTATCGTTCAAGGCGATTTCTCATAATTGTCATGATAGGTTCATGCCGTGTTATTAAAATTCTGGAGCCTTGCAAGCTATAAAGCATGGTGCGTGCATGTGAACGTAGAATGCCGCACCAGGAACGGAATGAAGCAATTTTTAATTTAGATTTATGCATTAACAGAATACGAGGCATTAAAAAATAACATTAAATGCCTGGCTTGGCCTAATTATCGTTCGCTAACACTACTTTAGTAAAGGATATAATAATTCACGTTCATGAACAAACTGTAATTAAAACTTAAAACATTTCTCCCATGCAGCTACACATCACCTGAAGGAATACCTGTGGAAATCACTTTTGTGTCCAACGCTGGTGGCTATCAACCTGTCGGTGCCCTGCTGCCTGTCGCACCTCCTCTACCTTATCAACGCACTCAGGTCTACTAGATCCACATCACCAGCCCCCAAGTCTTCTTTACCCACATCCCAGCTCCAAGTCTTTTTTACCCACATCCCCAGCCCCAAGTCTACTATAGACCCACATTAACAACTCCAAGTGTACTAGACCCACATCCCCAGCTCCAAGTCTTCTACTTGGTCTACTGAAGTCGTCTACTTGGTCAAGTCTACTTGACTGAATCACCAGCCCCCTGGTTTACTAGACCCGCCTCAAAACTGCAAATTCAAAGTACTAATTTGTTTTAATTGCACGAAATTAAAAAGTTATTGCTAAAAGAAACAATGCAAACTTTTTATTCCGATTTTCTCGTTAATCCCGGAAATGAAGTTAATTTTTGTGAGCTTGAATTAACAATCAACCAAAGAATTGAATTAAACGTTGAAAATTTTTATTTCTATTGCTATCACGTAGATATTGAAGTTTTTTCATGAATAACCTTCCGTTGACCGGCTTTCGCATCAACAACTTTTACGACATGTAGGATACAGCGTTTTTACCTTCTTTTATCGTATTATTGTTGCTTAGATAAGAAAGGATATAAATGTTTTTACGCCTGATTGCATGACAATATCGTCTGCTGATTGAGTTAGTTTTCTTAAAAAAAGATTCAGTTAAGGATTTTTTATTGTGATTTAAAGAGAGATGAAGGAATATAGGTAAAATAAAAATTTTGGTTTCAAGGCTTTTGCAATATTATAATTTTTAAGTTGGCTGAGTTTGATTAACTCAAATGTTAAGTTTCTTTTATGTCTCTAGTTGGTTATGATTGTTGGAAGTTAGATTTCATTTATTCGCCAAGTTTGTTATTGAGATATAGTGAGAAGTAATTTTTTCATGCATAGTTAAAATTACAATGAACGTTGATCACGTGATGCACTTTAACCTCTTATGAACGCAGCCACATCAATGCAATCATTCTGATAATAAACAAAACCAGTTAATTTTGTTTAATTTTCTCCATAGATTATAAACTTCACAGCTTTCCATGATTGTTTCCCTCATAATTAATTATCTGTGTTTTGTGTTCTTCTTTTTGTCATCACAACGATCTCCAGAAAATTAGTTTAATTTTACTAGCATATTTTATAGTTCGAATGACACCGCGTATATACGGGACGGTTAGGACTGCTGGCCTGGACTTTCTGCCTCCATCAGAGGATTGTGGCTCTGAATTGAATAATATTCTCATGGAGTAAAGTGCACTATGTTCAAGCCGAAATTCATCATTGAAACCCATATTTGAAGTCGTAATTGAAAGTTTAAGAGTCGTACTCTCACTATTCAATTGATACAGTTTATACAGTAAAATTATAGAATGCCAACTAGAAGCAAAACAGTTCCTATAATAGGAGCATCTTCTAATGTTTTGAATGAAAGTTCCACTACAGTACAGGTATGATATTTTTGAAATTCTATAACGAATCCTATAAAAGAGCTTACAAAATAATTCCTACTAGCAGAAGAATGTTTAATTCTTTCCCGTCAAACTAATTACTAATGCTAATTTTGTAATACTAACAATAATTTTAGTTAAACACAGTTGAGACTCTCCAAGCGGGTCTGCAGTCAATACAGTGCTTGTCCTAAGGGCATCGTCCACTAAAGATTCCTCTAAATGCGGTGAAATAATATTTTCAAGTTAGTAAATGGTTGATTAAATGAGTCTTACTACAATTAATGAAGAATTAATATGTATTTATTTTTTCACTCAGTAACATCAAAGAGCCACTTGACGTTCACGGTTGACAGTTGCTGTCTGCCTCATTAGAGAAGTAAAGATATAATCTCTATAACATTCAGTTCATTGCAGCGTTCGACATTTACTTCACATAAGTGTTCGCAGGATACACATAAATGAGTACGAATCTATAGAAGAACTGGTGCAGATACTCTCAGCAAACTGTACTGCAAATACATGCTAATGATCCTACGCATCGATATTATAATGCAAAAGCTAAATACTGAATTTAGCGCTGATTTTCCATCTATTACTGTCTTTGATATTGACTGTGCAATGCGTCGTCTTTTGCAGTCAACATCACCTTGCCTAATGTGATAGTAAGTTTTAATATTTGATAACAACCAAATATCTCAATTATGTTCTAATTATTCTGCTATGTTAAACGATCTGGGCACGATTTTTATAATATCTTAACATTAATGATTAGCAAACAACCAAATTACGCACTGGGTTCCTTAGGTGTTTCTATAGTATAGGTATTACTCCATTATTTATAAACAGCAATCGCCGGAACCTTGCGCTGGGTCGGCTGCTGATGTGTACATCATATTTCTTTTGATTTTTCTCGACAATATCTCAACAGTTAAGAGCAGCAAACGTAGGAACTATGGGCTTGGTTGGCTGCTGATGTGTAAATCATATATCTTTTGATTTTTCTCGACAATATCTCAACAGTGAAGAGCAGCAAAACTATGGGCTGGATCGGCTGCTGATGTGTATATCATTTTTTTATTATTTTTATCGACAATATCTCAACAGTTAAAGAGCCGCAAACGAAGAATTATGGGCTGGGTCGGCTACCGATGAAAACATCCTATTCCTTTTGATTTTTCTCGACAATATCTAAACAGTTAAGAGCAGCAAACGAAGGAACTACGGGCTGGGTCGGCTATTGCTATCGACGTCATCGTAGCTGCTGAGGCGCTGCTCGATGTCGTGAAGGCGACGCTGCTGAGCCAGCGTGGCCGGCGTCGGCTGGTCGTAGCCATCATCACGCCCTTCTGGTCCGTCGATGTTGTCGTCCAGCCTGTCAAATTAAAAAATATAACTCAGTACTCACTGCAGTGAGTGACAGAGAGCGCATTTTCTCGTCGACGAAAACGTGAAGTCACGGACGGACGGACGGACAGACAGACGGACGGACGGACGGACGGACAGACAGACATGGCGAGCACAATAGTGCATTTTTTCCATAAATGAGAAAATGCGCTAAAATAAGATGATGGAATGTTTAGAACGATTTGTTGCTGATAACTTATTATTGGCATGAAAATGTTATTGATTCTTCTAAATTTATCGTGATTATGTTATTATTCGCGGGAGAAGTTATAACATTCTGTTTTTGGTTCGAGTTTGCATTTTCAGACTGCAACTAAATTTGACAAAGTCTGTATCAATATCTCATGATGTAACTGTTGCCTTTAATCCATTGTAATCATCGAAGATGAAGCGAAAAATTTATTTTAACAAATCTCCAAATGCGAGTCAATTTTCTGATTGAATGATAATTTGGCGTTTTGATACCGAGTGTGTATTAAATTTAAACACTATATATGAACTGATGCCATGTGAAGGGATTTTCTTCAATTGTTTATATACATAAGATACGAAAAAATCTTCCCATCAATCATTCATTCTATCAGAAATTGTTTCAGTTAGAAATATCTAAAGCACGATTGAATAATGTCGGTGTGAAATAAATTTTAATATTATTTAAGCAGAATTCAATGAAATTTAGCTTACGAAACCGCTAAGAAAGGAAAGAATAATGCTTCGAGACCGATGACAGTGCAGGATAATTTTGAAATGAATTCTTACCTCAGCAAGTTAAATAATAATACAGAATAATAATATCAGTTAATATTGGAATAAATACTATTTTCCGCCCTCACCCTGTAGTTCCATTCGCAGGTGAATCGGCTGCGCTTTCCACGGTGAGATCTTCAATATCTTGACTGTAGAAGTGAGGTGATAGCATGCAAAATAAACATAAAAAGTGACTTCTCACCATGCAATTCATGCAGATGAAGTTCCCATTTCAGATAAGCCATACTAATGCAGAGCGTAATAAATGCAGCTTTTCATGTATGGTCAACGTTGCTACCATATATTAAAATTTTCGGCATTTATTTTTAAGAATTCATCATTTTTATGCTAATTTTGATGAGATTAAATAACAATAATTGCATTATTAATTACATTATTCATTAGACAGTGCTCTCAGACTATCCTATAAGGAATATAGTTTCAAGTTTGCAAAAGCAAGAAAGTTTTTAGTTTAATATAATTCAGCCAAGCTTTGTTTGTGGGTCGTTGACGTTACCTTATATACATAAGCAAAAGACGAGGAAACTGTTCAATGTCATGTGCATTTAATCAAAAATTTAACACGTCTAAAAATATATGATAGGCACACATTAGTAAAAAGTTATAAAATTGATGAGTTTTGTGGCAAGTAATTCTATCTCAAAATGATGTTTTGTAATTAAGTTTTTACCCTAGGTCTACGAATACATTGATGGTTTTCGGTGATTTTCACATCTCATTGTCTGGTGGCTTGAGAAGCCGTTAGTAGATAAATAGTGAAGCATTGAATTTGAGAATTTTCCTAACAAAATTTAGAGGTGTGAGCGACCCTGCATTAGGGCCACCTTAGACTCGAGGAGCACGTAAATTAGATTATCTAAGTCCGCTTGCGCTCGGGTTACGAATTAAGGGCAGCCTTTTGGCAGCTTGCTAGCTCGGTATGACTCGTGTCGGCCAACCCTTTTCATATTCTCAGACACAGTAAAGTCGAAGAGGAGATTCTGACCAGAAACTGATTTCGGTCGGGCGGCCAAACACACCCATAATAACTTTGCGCCGAAGTAGTGACTCTTCGGCCGAAGCCTAGGAGGTACCCGAATCTTGTAGGGGCTTGTTCCATACTAAAAATGTAGCTCTGGTGATTATAATTATTTAGATTTCCTACTTACTCGACGTCTTTTACGGCCCAGACGTTGAGTTTAGCATCAGCGCCGCCAGTGTACATGAGCTCGCCGACGATGGCGAGGCACTGGATGCTCGACTCGTGACCGACGAAGAGCTTCTTGAGAGCGCCGCTCTTAGCATCGTAGGCGCGGACGAAAGAGTCCACACTGGCTGTGAACACTGTCGGAAATACGTTTCGTCAGCAACAGTGCTGCATAATTCGTGTATATTTTGTGTATGAACCCAATCTATGGCCATGTGTTACATAGTTCCGGCTACTGACATATCCCATTATGCAGCTTAACGCAGATGATGGCATGTTTAGCGCCTTTGTAAACTCTGGTGCAGTTGCCGAACTCGCGCACCCAACAGCGCGCAGTACCGTCTTGACTGCCTGAGTACAGCAGAAGGTTGAAGACAGTCAGGCATATTACTGGACCTGAGTGACCTTCCATCACCTGCGCACAAAGACAACGTACAATGACTGCATCTCAGCCATCTTTTACCTATGACGTAGATAGTAAATATCAGAGTCATACCTTCAAACTTGACTGTTTATGTATTTCTTCACTACCAGATTCGAAATTATCCACATGAACTTTACACCAATTTAAAATTAGATCTGACATATCAGCTTGAATAGCTTTTAAGTTGAAATTTTTATACGTTCCAAGGAATTTCTTCAGTTGAAGTTTGAGTTGTACCTTGAGACACTTGTATCGTACCTTGAACCACTTGTTTTGTACCCTGAGACACTTGTATCGTACCTTGAGACACTTGTATCGTACCTTGAGACACTTGTAGCGTACCTTGAGACACTTGTATCGTACCTTGAGACACTTGACACATCTAGATGTGTATAAGAGACAGGTATATCATCATTCAATGTCACATAATCGTATATGTATATCATCATTGAATGTCTCATAATTGTATATGTATATCATCATTGAATGTTTCGTAATCGTATATGTATATCATCATTCAATGTCTCATAATCGTATATGTATATCATCATTCAATGTCTCATAATCGTATATGTATATTATATCAATGCTCTTTTATTGCGGGTGCGATGCAAGTAATCGTGTAACACTCTGATTTAAGTAGTTAATGATCTTACGAGATTATGAAGTGTATAGCGTTTGTTTAAATCGATGTTTTTCAGCGGGGGAAAATAGGGGTTCAAGTAAACTAGTTTCAGTTAAATTTAGTTAGTCTGTAATAATACTAGATTATAAAGTGTAAAGCTTTAGCTTTTACCACGGTAAATGTGTAGCCAAGTAAGCGCGATATGTTCCAGTTATCGTAATCTTATAATCATCAACAACTTTTTAAAACAAAGCACGACCCGAAAACTATTTCCAATTAGAAGATAAAATTTCAAGAAATAATTTTTTCAACACTCAATCATGTACCATGCAATGGTTCAATAATAAGCGAAACACTCACCGTAATAACCGTAAATTTCAAATATTAATACATTTTCACATAATCTATTATTGAATAATATCGTTCAATAACAAGAGAGACACTCGTCGGAATAGCAGTACATTTTCAATAATTATATATTTTTACATCATCTATTATTAATAATATAATGCAATAATAAGAGAAACACTGACCGGAACAGCCGTACATTTCCATTAATACATTATCACATTACCTATTATTAAATGATATAATTGATTAATAAGCGAAACACTCGCCGGAACAATCGTACATTTCCATTAATACATTATCACATTACCTATTATTAATAATATAAATTATATAATGCAATAATAAGAGAAACACTGACCGGAACAGCCGTACATTTTATTAGCCAGTTTTATGTCCATGAAGCTGAGCCAGAGGCGGTTCCCCAACAACGGCTGAGCGAGAACCTGTTTAGCCACAATCGTTGCTTTGCCGTTCATGGAGAAGAACTGGAAACAAAGATTTTGTGCATTAAAAGGCAACTTTTTGTCTGAGTTTTTATCTTTGCCTCTAATCAAGTTGTTATCTAGTGTTAGGTTGTACAGCATGTACTCAATGAATTTTAGATAAACGACAAATAATATTTAATTGTACGAGTATTATAAGGAAAAACTGCAAATGAGGACAGCATATTGTTTACATACTGTTTCACCGAAGGCATTTGAATTTAAGCGACATTAAATTAGCAAATCTAGAGAACAATCGAACAAATGTGTACTTTTCCTTGCACCAACGAAATTAGATTCTCAAAGAACGTCCGGGTTTCGGACTTTCATCTGATAGGTTACCAAAATGGCATACTACCAATAGGATCCCGATCACTCACATGGCTACCGTAGTGCATGACCGAGTGGTAGTCGTAAGGCACTTCATAGTTTTTGGTTTGGTACTTGCCGAAGTTACTTATAGTCTCTGGACTGATGTTTTCCGTCTTTATTTCCACAAACTCGTCGCGATCAGATCGCGATTGCTCGTGAAAGAAGCCTAATGCGTGCCCGATCTCGTGGACAGTTGAACCAATCTGCGCGAGTCAAACGGAACGCATAGGATAGTGAAACTTAACCTGAAACAAATATTTCAACAATTAATGAGAATTAAAAATTTGATTCGCGAGAGGGTTTAAGCTCTGAAGACATTCTACATACATTTCCATATATTCCACACAATGTATGGAACTCTGTAATTCCATACATTCGAAAATAATTAGAAGGCGGCACACTAGCGCGGCCGTGGGCAAAACTATCCTAATAAATTCAACACCGCAATAAGAAACATAAATAGCATAATTCCATACATTCGAAAATAATTAGAAGGCGGCACACTAGCGCGGCCGTGGGCAAAACTATCCTAATAAATTCAACACCGCAATAAGAAACATAAATAGCATAATTCCATACATTCGAAAATAATTAGAAGGCGGCACACTAGCGCGGCCGTGGGCAAAACAATCCTAGTAAATTCAACACCGCAATAAGAAACATAAATAGCATAATTCCATACATTCGAAAATAATTAGAAGGCGGCATACTAGCGCGGCCGTGGGCAAAACTTTCCTAATAAATTCCTAATAAAAAATAATAATAATAAAAAAATAAACACCGCAAGAAGGAAAATAAATAGCATTGTTACATTAGACACGCAGTTTGGGTGCAGCCAGATCTGCTGGCCATGGTCAGACACCCTGCCGATGTAGGAGGCGCACTGGTTGCTGTTCAAGAAAATCAAGCGAGCGCCGGTGTAGTTAGGGTCTGCTGCTTTGAACGTCACGCACGTCTTGTCCTGCCAGTGCGCGATGGCTTTCTGCACGCCCGTGCGGTTGATGATGGCTGTAGTGTGAATAATGGAATAAATTTACTCGAGTTTATCATGGCAAATTTACTCGAGTTTATCATGGCTGCAGTATGAATATTGGAGTAAATTTACTCGAGTTTATCATGGCTGTAGTATGAATATTGGAATAAATTAACTCGAGTTTATGAATATTGGAATAAATTAACTTGAGTTTATCATGGCTGCAGTATGACTATTGGAGTAAATTAAATAGAGTTTATTTAAAAATATTACGATAAGTCACGATAAGTTTAAGATATTATTAACATTTATTAAAGTGATAGGGTCATAGTGTGGTTTACGATGGCTGCAATATAAATATTAGGCTAAATTAAGTTGAGTGTACCATTTTAATATCGTTAAAAGCGTTAGGGGCATACATCGGCTTACGATGTATTATGAATATTAGGAGAAATTTAGTTCAGAATTGTAATTGTACCCTTTGAAAGTGTTAGCGGCAGATAATGTCATGAACTATAAAAGTACCGTAATCGTTCCTAGATTATTATTTCAGTAGAATTGTTGACATACATTTCGGATGAATAAAGTTGAACGGATGAGTAAAGGTATGTAGCAATGAGTAATTTATGACACGTGAAGGTTAAAATGTTCATCAACAGTTATTGTCCCTTTTTTAATTGTAGACAATTTCAATTGGTTATCTCACGAACGTATTGTAAGAACTCGAGGTAAATATTACACAAGTTATTTCCTTTCTTTACGATAAGGTGGTTAAGTTAGCGGAGCAAAGGTTATTTTATGTTTTCGATAATATTTCGATTTTCCTCTTTTCACTATAGTAAAATATTTTCATTTTCCTGCCTATCTACGAGAAAAGACATTAATTTTGTTAGATATTCAGGTTTGTTAAAATACTCGATTTATGGCAAACTAATTCTTAGTTCACTAATAATGAAATGTAACCTAAAAACTCTGATGTACCTATCGTCAAGATAATCTCTCGCAAACGGATACCGTAGTTACAATAACAATAATATTATTAATAGTAATACTAATAATAATAATAGCAGTAGTAAAGGATTAACAGGAGTGAGATCTAACAACAATAAAAAAACAATAATAATACTTATAATGATACCAATAATCATCATAATAATGATAATAATAAAAATAAGATATTCTTACAGTCGCCAAAAGTGTAAGGCACAGAGATGACGCCACTTGGGCCGGAGGGCCACAACAATATCAATAATATTGATTTATTTAATAATAATACTTATAATGATGCCAATAATAACAATAATAATGATAAATAAGATATTCTTACAGTCTCCAAAAGTGTAAGGCACGCACAGAGATGACGCCGCTGGGGTCGGAGGGCCACAACAATATGAATAATATTGATTTATTTAATAATACTTATAATGATACCAATAATAACAATAAAATATTCTTACAGTCGTCAAAAGTGTAAGGCACGGAGATGGCGCCACTGGGGTCGGAGGGCCACAACAATATCAATAATATTGATTTATTTATTGATTTATTTAATAATAATACTTATAATGATACCAATAATAACAATAATAATAAAATATTCTTACAGTCGCCAAAAGTGTAAGGCACAGAGATGACGCCGCTGGGGTCGGAGGGCCACAGCAGTACGCTGTAGGGGGTCGCCTTCCTCGTGACGGCCTCCGTACGTTGCTGCTGCGTCAGCACGATGTCGCCCTCGAACGCGTGCTCTGATAACGTCTCTGGGTCCAGCTCCTTAGGCACTATCGTTGACTGCCCAATCTAAACAAATTAGAGAAATTTCGAAAAATGTCGTGCTCTGATAACGTCTCTGGGTCCAGCTCATCAGGGACTATCNGCCATGTCCGTCCGTCCGTCCGTGACTTCACGTTTTCGTCGACGAGAAAATGCGCTCTCTGTCACTCACTGCAGTGAGTACTGAGTTATATTTTTTTATTGGAAACTTTCGATTTAAGCAGTCTAATGATATAAGTACTAGTCTATGCAAGTAATGAACGTTTCATTGCAATCCGTAATAATAAATTACGATAGATAAAGTAAGTAAAGTAATAAACAAGATAGATAAGTAGTTCCGATAGACAAAGTTATGCTAAATCACATGGAAATAATAGAAAAACAGAACATTTATTTTTAGGATGTGTTATGTGAACCTGTCGTTTTTCAGCCAGTAAATGAAATTTCCGGCACGTTGGTCTCAAAACACCAATACAGCACGAGGCGCATGCCAATAACATAATTGAAGTCTATTTTAATTCCATGAAAAAAATATCCGCAAGTCCCAAGCTGTCCTAGCCAATATTTTAAATATAAGCTCGCCTAATGATTGACACTATGATAAATCAGCCAAAAATTCCGACGTATTTTACCTTATACATTTATTTTTTATAATATAATTTATTATCGTATCAGAAAATTAATTAGATTATAGAAAATATTTAAAAATTATAGATGAATATTTCTCGTTCTCTCTCGTATTTTCCGGTAAATAATGGTACTAAATACACATACTATTGTTGTATTAATGTATGAAGCGGTTTTCTTTAGCTCACAAACATGATGAAATTATCGTCGAGCGAAAACGAATGCAATCGAAGAAAGACAGACGCCATAAAGCGAAAACCTTGCACCGTGGAAAAACACTTGCAGCAAAAATTCCCACCAGAACTTAATGTCTTACGTAAGATGTCATGTAAATTACGGAACATTTTTTGATTGGTGCGAGTAGTTTCGCTCTATATCCTAGTGCATCAGATGATAATATCTTGACTGACGCGCTCGATAATACGAATATCGTTACCAACGAAAAGTTTTTCCATACATCAAAATGATTGCACCAGATCGTGGATGTGTCGTTCCACTTTAGAATAGCTGTTTTCCTGTACATAATTGGACATCACTCCCGGAACTATCATCCGATTGCTCTCATCCACAGGCAACAATGATGGTTAAATGCAAGCGAGTAACCGCATTGTCCTGGAAACTCACAATCGCTAAGCACAGGTTATCCTCTGAATAGCATCCCCAGACAATGAACCCGTTCCATAATTGCGGTACGGACGCCACGTTTAGGTCTATGCTTCAATAATTGATAAGCTGTATCTCCTCTATGCTTCAATAATCATGAAGTGAATTGATAAGCTGTGTCTCCGCTACATGGCGCATTAACTCTTTCATGGTTCAAGCTTGAATGAGATCGTGATTTAAGTGGACTGCATAAGCGTTTTTGCAGGATTAAATTACAAGCCTTCCAGGATGTCTAATTCAGATCGAGATGATACAAGCGATGATTTAGATAAAAACCAGTGACGCACGATCGGAAATCCGAAAATTAAATTTGAACGGCAATTGCTTCATTGCCAAAAATCAGAGAACAAAAACACATTTTTCACAATGAGATAGAATGTAAAATTTCACGGAACATAAGAGAAACATAACAGAGAAAGTAACAGAGATTTCTTGACAATACCAAAATAGTATGCAAATAAAGTATCAAAATTGAGGTTCAGCGTAACAAAATTAACAATCAAAACAACAACAATCAATTAACAATCAATTCAGCGTAACAATCAATCAAATTAGAATTTGATTGATTAGTTTAAAACCATATCTCCTACATCAACACCCTTTTCATCAATGACACCGCCACCAAATTAACAACTACCTCTCCATACGTCCAGAAAAAGATACCGTCAATTAAACATCAATGTATAATTCAGTACCAACGTCCATGATAATGATACCGATTAGGTGGGCCAGAAACTCGAAACAAATTTCTAAAAAGCTTCAACGCAGAACGGTGATACCCGGATACATTTTTCATAAGTTATACCGTAATCTATAACATATAATTAAATAAATTGAATTATAATTACTTAGGTTTTTTTACTTTCGCATTGTACTAATGATAAAACCTAGAATATAACAACTTGCTAAGATGTAATATTTTTCTTAAAAATACACCAAACAATAACACTTCCTCCATCACTAGCAGCAAGGTAGCAGATAAGTTCATATTATAACAGAAAACAGCATTTGGATTATTCACAAATTTTACAAAAAACGTTTCTGGAATTGATTTTTTTGAAAGTTCAAACCTTCAATCAAAATGACAATAAGTAGGATACTGATAAAGTTCAAAGTTTACGCTCAAGACAATCTAAAGAGCAAGAACTGAATGGGAATGAACCGATAAGGCATTTTTAAAACAATCCTCGCAGCAAATTGCAATTCTCTGATGATGGTTTTCAGCGCAAATGCTGTATTTCATTAAAGTATTTTAGTCAAAATAGATATGCTTTTTGAAAGGTCAGAATTAATTAATAATGTTATTGCAGCCTAACGAAACAACCACCGAAATTTCACTCGGGATGACGTGTGAAATTTCGAACAATCGATTTCAAACCATAAAACTCAAAATTGACTCCAATTTATCGAATTAAAAAAAATCTGAAAATCATTCACGGCGTAATTTCAACTGATTACATACAAATTAACCTTCGACTGTTAATTACAGTTCACATAACAGCAAATTTCCGAATAATATCTTTATAATTATACTGACATATAAAAGAATTGAGGTGTGTTATAATAATAATAATAGCGTATTTAGCCTTTATTAGGCCGTAGGCCTGTCGCCGATTCTTAACATCACAGAACACACATAGTTATGAGACACATAGTAATACTATTTAAACACTCAACTCATTTTATTACTTTTTATACTTTCGTTTTTTCATATACGAGAAGAGAAAAGGCAACTCACGGGCAACAGAATTGCGCTGGACGCGACGGTAAGGTAGGCGGTTATCAAAACGAGGAGCTCGACTGTGAACGTCATGGCAGCGCCGCTACTTTATCAACACAAGGCCGAGTTGTGGTGCACGCTTTCTTATATAGCAGCGGAGGGTCCCGGACACGCTGTTATGGGGAGCTGGTGTGCGTCTCATGAGTCATAACGATCATTTAACCCTGTACCGCCGTGTGTCACTCTCCGGGAAAATAACTTTCAACTTTAATTATATACGTAAACTATTGAGTGTAGAAACCTGAGGACGTTTGTACGCAACAGAGAACATTTTAAAGTTGTCGTACGTGGAGGCAAATTATACGTAAACTATTGAGTGTAGCAACCTGAGGACGTTTGTACGCAACAGAGAACATTTTAAAGTTGTACGTGGCGGCAAATTATACGTAAACTTGAGTGTAGCAATCTGAGGACGTTTGTACGCAACAGAGAACATTTCAAAGTTGTCATACGTGGCGGCAACCATCAGTGCAAGTCATTTTGCGCTCACTAGAACGTAGGTCTCCTTTTTGGGAAGTAGACTTGTGACAATATTGTTCCGGTTACTCATATTTGGTGGTAGAGAGTTAAATGCACTCTTTCTGACACTCAGATCTGCAGCTCAGGATCGTGTAGCGGAGGAGTACGAATTCCATTGAAGAGAAAAAGTGACGTTTTACAATTTGCCTACTTCTGCGAAGCTTTTCAGTTTATACTGGCATTCACTAATCTCTATATTATTCCCAATTCTTTGTGTTATATTATGTTTTGTGCACTCCTGTGTGTCTCTAAATAATTCACGGTTCATGTAGCGAAAGAAATATAAACTTCATACAGAAATTGTGAAGATATAGGAGGCTACCATAGACCAGAGAAGGATAAGAAAACTTATTTATATTCTATAGTTATTGCTGCATGAGGAGATACAAGAGAAATATAAATGCAAAAAATAAAATGAAATGTAGTAAAAATTCAATAATTGATGAAATAGCCTACAAAATTAACCTGCCGTATAGTTAAAAACATAAGTTTTTGACAAGGAAACATACTTCAAAACTAGTTAATTGTGCTTTCAAGCCGTGTTAGTACTAGCTCAATACTAATAAATGTTCTGTTGCGGAGAGGACATAATGATCTTGAAATTTTGAGCAGGTATTTACCATTCATGCCTGACAACTCGTAAGTAAGAAAATACCTACCTTATAAATGTATGAAAGATAACAATTCTTAATGATTGGTCAAATATATTTCCTATGGGAGGGCTAAAGTGGGCACAAAATCCAAACGAATTCCATGCAGCTATTCATGGCTGTCTAACTATGAGATCTCCCTTTATCACTAGAGAATAACTAAACACTACGTAATAACTAAGATAAAGTATTAGGTACTAACTCTAGCAGAGGGAACGCTAGTGTGGAGTAAGAGCCTCTAGGAGACGATGGTGCAGAGCAGCGTCGTTCCTATTGCTCCGATTCAGCTGAAGAAACAAGAAATACATTAAGCAACGTCCCTTGATTCTGTATTGATAAATAATTATAATTTAATTTATCAATATATATCGATATGTGTCAATACTGATGTATAATTATCATAGCATAGATTGGTACATTGAGAATCAATGTAACAATGCACTGAGCGAGCCATAACATATCGCGTGGTAAAATCAAGCAAACATGCACACAAATATTCTGCTAAATACTTGTATTATCCGACCCTAGAAGCCGTCAAATCTGCACTAAGATCAGTAAAATTATTTCATATCGTGATTTTTGGTGCGAAGAATTGTTAGAAGCAGCGCAACAGACATTGGGTAGACACATGGAATAAACTCACTAAAGCAATTAAAAACATATGAGGCCGGAAATTAAGATTGGATTTTTATTTAGCAATGAATTCTGTTACTAATGAGAATTTTCTACAAAAAAGTATCAAATGTTTAAACTGACAGTACATGGCGGGTTATATTCATGGTGTTAATTTAATGGTCAATAAGATACAGGCTTCTTAATCGCAGTTACGTACCTTAAAAAAATTTAGTAGAAATATCATTGATACTTCCACCATTGAAACAAAAGACAAAAAAAGAATCGTACAGAAACTCAAGGAATGAAAACTGCTAAATAGAAAATTGTATAAATCTGTCAGAAACTCAAAAAGTAACGCCAACATCAGCATCTATTTGCCACCATGTGCTTTTGTTGTCAAGTACCGTGACTAGCAGGGCGTGGGGGTGGCCCCGGATTCGCTCAACAACGGGCAGGGGTCGGCCACGGCCCGCCACTGGGATGGTGAGCAACAGGGCGCAGCGTCGCTGGTCCAGCAGGGACGCGAGGGCTCGGCAGAAAGTATCGCTCAGCAGCTCCATCTTGCCAACCTCGTCCACGATAAACACCGAGGCTTTGGCGACACCAGCACTACTTGCCTGCAACAGTTTCAACTATTATTTAACATTATGCAGTTTTTAGCGCATTTTCTCATTTAAGGAAAAATTGCACTATTGTGCTCGCCACGTCCGTCCGTCTGTCTGTCTGTCTGTCCGTCCGTGACCTCAAGTTTTAGTCGACGAGAAAATGCGCTCTCTGTCACTCACTGCAGTGAGTACTGAGTTATATTTCTGTTAACAGAAATCATGTGCTTGGCTTTGCACATTTTTTAACTTCAATATTCATTTAATATAACATTCAGCATTCAAATAGCCGATTTTCAAGAATAATAATTTTACCTTTTCCATAAGAGGAAGAGCAACACGTTCAAAGCCCACCACGTCAACAGCATAGCGACCAATCATGGGTAGTCTCGTGCCATCTCCATCACTGCAATGGGATCACTTTTAGATTTCCACCAATTTTCTAAGGAAGCATGCAACTGAAACATTTACTTTTATCACGGTAGTATGTATACATAGCCCTACTCACGACCAAAGACGATTTATGGAACTTTTTTTAATGAATCGGTTTTCTTGCACTTATTGAAAGATTGAGCTGATTAATCTTTTGTACACAAATTCAAATTTTTTACAGAATCAATTTTCTATTTAACAACAACGAAAAATATGGAGTTCTACAAAAAGCGTTTTGAGAGTTCATACACTGATATTAGGATACGGTATAGGTACCGGTACTTAGGAACAAAACCAACTCAGTTGCTAGCATCAAGTTAAGTACAACAGAGTAACACAATTTTTGTGCAACAGCAAATTAAATATGTATTAGCTCAGCATGACAGTCCAAACGTTTGTTGCCATATCTTTGGTCCTAGTTAAACTTCATAAGTAGGTATATCATAGGTCATGCTGTTGTGCAGCCTGAAATACTCACACCAAATGTGAATAGAGGCGAAAGGCCGCCTCCCGTCGGTATATGCGGTACGATATATCAATGATAATCTTGCTAAACATTTGGGGAGATGTAGTACGGTAAGTAATTGCATATGTGGGTTTAACAAAATTCAAGAATACACAGAGCTCAACATAAAAAAATAAAAGCATAAAGTTTCTATAAGCATTTTTTTAAATCCATAAAGATGGAGGCTAATAACTTTAGCTGAAGTAGATAAATAGATATACATATATATTAACCACTTATATTAACCTTATACAACAACCTCTTAATAGCTGCCAGAGGAGCTGTCATGCCCTCTGTAGTAACAATATTGAAGCCAATTCTGTTGCCATGAGTGTCACGCTTCTCAGTTGTGTAGAATCCTGCAACAGAAACCTGCTTCTCTTGGAGCTGCTTCATCAGCTTACAAACCAAAGTAGTCTTGCCAACACCTGAAAAGATTGAGTTTTTAATTTTAGAAGAAATGTCAGCAAGATAATTTGTGGCAACATAGTTTCTGTGTTATCACTCAAAAATGAACAATAGTTATTGTTGGCCTGATGAGTACCGTAGCATGCAATTAGTTCAAATTACAGAGACTGCTGAGATTCTTTTAAAAAGTCAAAATATTAAAAAGTAAATTTCAAATTATTTTTCCATCTAAGAGTCATTATTGTGACCTCCAACAGTTACTTAACTTTTTCATTTTCAAATAAATTTAGAAACAATTAGCTTCAAATAATCAAATTCATTTCTGAAAACTACAAAATTCTAAGAGCATAGATTGGAAATTAACCATATAATAGGAATCATATTTTTAGTTAACAAACCAACTGGCAAGGATATTCAATCTTATGAATAGGTACATTGGTCCATTCAAATAACTTAAATTTGACAACAAATTTAATAGTTAAATTTGAAATATGAGAAAAGATAGAATCAGCACCAAAATTCAATGGGGCATTGAGTGCAATTACATGTTAATTACTAAATGGAAATATGATACCATTACATGAATACCGCTGTACATACTCTGCAATATAAAGTAAAACATCTTAGAAGTAAACAGGGATTATGATCTACCGTCAAACGGGTAATAAGGGACAGGCAGGGTAATAAGGGAAGGGTGGGGTAATAAGGGACTTAATAAGTGACGGGTGGGGTAGGTAATAAAAGGGACAGGCGGGGTAATAAGGGACAGTCCTCCAACATTTCGTAGAAATGTAACAGCTAAACCAATTAAAATATTACCAGCAGCAACTAGTTGGTGGAGGTTCTTTGGAGGGCAATAATTTTTGAACATAATAAGCCAGTTGATATTGGTAACATTTTGGTAAACTTTTAGTTAAGATAGCAAGACCATGATATACACATTCAAGAAGAACATGTCTGATTTATTGCCTGCAAGTTGATTGCTACACATATCATCACAGTTCCTCAAACTACCTAAAATTTTTGCTTTATCTAGAGCAAACTAAAATTGAAAATTTTTGCAAGCATGAAATTCCCAGCTGATTTTTGACTTGTACCCTATAGCATTTCATGATGCAACTGTGTTCATGCAAGCAATAAATGGCATTTCCTGGCATTCATAATGTTGTATATTTAGTACCGTAGGCTTATTTGTTCAATACCTAGAACAACTTCAATAATGATCATAAATTTTAAGAAACAAGATTAGTGAATTGAGGTGTATCTACAAGATAGAATTACTACAAGATACAATTACTACTATGGATAGTAGGTACCAGTATATTGATTGATTTCTCATAAATTATGATAAACTTTCCTTAGGAAAAATCACTCATCAGTTTGGCCAATGCAACTGAAACTTTTCAATTTTACATATATTTACATACTGATATTATTCCAAACTTTCATTTGAATCATGTTCATTTTTTTATTCCATTCAAGCAACATAGATGCATTATGAAGTTAATTTATACATTAAATCTTACCAGGAGGGCCAGTTATGACTATAAATGGGAGAACAGGCAATGATGACATAGCTCTGCCCGATGAAGCAGAAGTGGTGACCTGCAAACAATGATACGGTATGATATTCAATAGACATATAACATTGTAAGGTCAAAATTGAATTATTATATACTTGATTTTATAATTAATATTATATTCAATATATATAGGAATTTTAGTAATCCAAAGCTTTAGTATATGGATGCAGGCATGGAATATTTCTACTTTCAGAGCCACAACTGGAGCTTAATCACTGTTTTGGAGCTGCAAGATTCCCACAAGATGAATTATCTCCTATCTAATTGCTAACAAAAGTGCAAGGTAAAGCAAAAAGATTCAAAATTTATCAAAAATATGGCATTTTTGAGCTTCAAAGTTTTTCAAGCCAACACCTGTCCTGTGTGGAACTTTTATGGAAGTAATATTTTTATATACCTATTGCAAATATTTTTTGCTACAGACCTTAGAAGATCTATGTTTTTAAAATCTCACTTTTCACACTTTTTTAGAGGTCATAAATATATGATTTGTCAACTTGCTTTATGCTACCGTACATAGATACTAAAAATGTTTAACTTGACATCACTATTTTTAGTTTTGCAATATTTTGATTAGTTTAGCTGAACACTGCAACATTTCTACGAAATGTGGGACGACTGTCCTGTTTAGCCCTGCCTGTCCCTTATTACCCCATTTGACGGTATGGGTACAAGTCAACAGTCGCAAGGCTGCTGGTGCAGGTTGCCGGTTGGAGATTGCCTTAGATCTCCATTAGAATTTCATTAATGCTTCAAACCAAAGATGACAATGCCAATACAAGTCCTACAGTCATGTGAACCCATCAACTCTTCCAAAGAATTTGTTTGGATCCCAAACTTTGGCCCAAAGGGAACACAGGAGCATGGGCAGGCATGGAACTGTTGGAACATACAGTATCTATTTTTTTAGGTGATGACTGGACTCAGGAGTTTTCTGGCAATTTTTGGAACTACCAGATTCCTGCTAGATGAATGCCATTACCTCCTATCTAATTATTAAAACAAAATGCATGGTAGGGCTTTGGACCATGAGATTCTAAATGCATTGAAAATTTGTCACTTTGGTCTTTGAGGAAATGGGATTATTTGTAATAAGTAGGAAAATACTAATCACAGTATCTGGGTGAGCCTGTCCATATCAGATCTTAAGTGAAGCTGAAAATTGATCTATAATTTGTTGCTGAACAGTTTTGCCTAAACTTTCAAAACGCTGGGCTGCTGGCCCATTTTTATTAAAAATTTTAATAGTAGTATGAAAGAAGAATACAAACATCTATAATTCAAGAATTTATCTCAATCTCAATTCTCATGCTAATAAATATTTATATTTAATAAGAAAAAATTGCATTATTAATTTTGGGAGTTCAGATAACTAAGGTACATTGCTGAAATTTATTTTGCCATAATTAGGTACCTTCTTACCTCTTAAATACTGAGATATTTGATTAGAATTACCTAACTTGGGAAGTAATGAGTCTGTTATAAACAAGTTAAAGTCTTTAAAATCTCTTTTCATTTCTCAAAAATTGTTAAATTCAGAAAGCATAAAACTGATAAAAGTATGGATAGGCTATTCATCAATCTGCACTTCTGCAGTTCACTGAGCTCAGGCCTCAGCAGCTCCCACCTCAGTGACCTCACCAGTCACAGTCTCTGGTCTCACAGATAGCTATCCTGTCCTGTAAATGGAAATGGCTGCATAACACAAAGTTACTAAGTTATACCTACTTTCAAAATTAAAGATTCAAGTACAAACAGATATAAAAACAAGTTTGCTGAATGATGACTCTGATTCTGATAGATGTAAATTTGCTAGTAACCAGTAGTAAGTGCAAAGCACAACTTCATCAGCATGAGTCCAGAATTTGAAAATAAAAGCTTAAATGAACTTAAAAAGTTTTAAAAAATTTCTACCGGTACATCTAAAAACATAAACATTTTAGATATATCACGTAACTTACACTAAACTCTCTTCTGTAGAGTATATTCGCCTGTAGTGTGACAAATAGAGTACGTACCACGGGGCATGGTGCAATGTTTTTGTTGTTGATTACAGCTTGAATCCTTGAAGGCGAAGTAGCCACGAAGTGTTAGTTTGAACGCATTTGGTCTCTCCTGCTATCGTGGCAGTCGTCCTGGAGACCTGCGGTAACGTATGCGGCAAATCAGAACGATTAGAGTATGAAAGACTAACATAAAGAAATTTGTTAAGTTCTATAGATTGAATTTAATTGGAATTATTAAGTGTAAAAGTCTTTGGCATGTATTCAGGGCAAATTTTACTTTCTTTAGTTACGCATAAATTGATTATATACAGGCCATGGGCCTATTTCTTCAGTGCCGACACTTCTATTCTTCTATTCTATACTGAAGTAACAACGTCTATTTCATACGTTAATGCCTAAAGACATGTGGGTGCCACCAGCAAAAATGCTTGATTGATGATAGCACTTCATGATATTATCAAGATTTCATCTTTGACCCTAGTCATTGAAGATGATTTTTTAAAATCCGATACCCCTTCCTTTTCCCATTTAGTTGCAAATGAAATCTCACCAATAAACGGGCATGAATTCTCGTAGCTTTAATAGCCACCTTAAAACCACAAATACCCAAGAGTTTAAACTGGACATGATTGCAACGCGATGGACATGAGTAAAAAATGTGGCCTCGCTCGCCTGTCTGGATCTGAATCAGAAAGATGAGTCATTTAAGTGCGCACACAACCTTTAAAAGCACTGCACAATCACAGTAATAACTATTGCCAGCTGAATATCTGACCGTTCATCTCCGACATAACACGAAAATGTCATGTTTTCAACGAATATTCAATTATCAAAACTCATGCGAGGCCAAATATTGACCGAGCATAGTAAGTCGAGTATTGTACGATTGAGGATCTTTTCTGTCATTTTCAGGTACGTAGTTTACATTCGTATACTCCAATCCGTGAACTTGCAAAACCGGCCCAAAAAATTACTAAAACGTTCAGATGCTATTGTGATTTCGTTCGTTGTATTACCACCTAAGCCTACCAGGCTACCACCTAAGCTTATCGATGACGATGGGCAGGGTTACTCCTTCCAATCGTAGCTACTAATCAAAAGAGTATGGAAAATCCAATCCGTTCTTATAGGCACTCTGTCTGAAAGTTGATTCACATAAGTAACTTACCATTCTAAATATCCACTGTTTGCCCCTTACAGTTTCAAACCATATCCTTCCTCTATCAGCATGTATAATAAGTTTATATGTGTATGTTTATAAAGGTAAGACAGGTAGATATTTAGATATTTCTACTCAAAATTTGCATTTGCAAGTAGGTGAACGTACTGTATTTCTTGATGCCTTCCGACATATGTTGACCTTGACTCCGAAATATATCATTATTCAAGGAAGAATCCATTTGGAATTTTTTCATAGATGTTACTATTGAACTTAAAATGTGGTATCACTGCAGTTACTGGTTACTCGCTTCATCTCATACAGCTGGATGAAAATCGCCTATTTTCGTCAAGGTGCTTCATTGCAACACACGAGAAGGTATCCATTCAGATCGTGTTATTTCCTCCTCTTGATGTTATATAAGATACATAATTTTCACAGTATTCTGCCGTTTTATTAGTTGCCGTTCATCTCATTTGATCACCAATATTACATGTGGAGGTTTTTTGCGATGTTGATAATTTATAACAGGGCCAGTCATTAAATTAGTCATTTAAATACACACTTCACTTGAATTTTTTAGTAATGTTGCAGTAAATCTTCACTATAGACGACAATTTTGTTTTATCAATTTCTAATATTTTATTCAAGCTGAACATTGATTTTATTGATTTTCTTTCTATCCACACGTAATGGTAATCAGAATCAGCGTTGGTTTGGCCGTTAGACATTTCGCCATAGTAGAATATTGACAGCTTGTTGTGGTCTCAAACCCGCACCTCTCAGCTCCAATCTTATAGCAGTCTAAACTGTCACAAATGGACCAAACTGTATTCAAAATCGAAAAAAATTGTTTTTTCTTAGTTCCCGCGAGAAATAACATAGGCACTTTATATGGAATTATGTAAAAAAAAAAACAAATAAATTATTACAAATTATTTTCCAAACATGATTCCACAGCTTGAAATTTTCCAGAATAACTTATGAGTGATATTTTATTTGAGTCAAATTTATACCTCATGAGTGAAATATAAGTTTTGTGTCTTTTATTGAACAGTTAAAAGACAAGAAAAGAATATTTTCATCATAAAATTGTAATTGATCATAAGTCAACAATCCCCAAACAGCAAATCTTTTAAATCAAGATTGTTGCCTATTGTTGCCAACATGAGCGATTGTTCTGATCGAACATCTGGTCGACATGGACGATGTCCCAGCACACTTGTTGGACCACACTTGTGGTCCAACATCACACCTACCACAGAATGCGAGATATACATTAATATTGGAATACTGGTTGTACATTTTCCTTGCCTTTAGTTTGTGAATTAAAACCGTGGAAGTACGACGCGCATTGTGTTCAGTAAGGTGTAAATACAGAGTTGAAATTATCTGAGTGAAAGTTCGCAAAGAAAATAATTAATAAATTTATTTATTATTAATAGCATTAATTAACTCATGGTTTTTGGATAATTAGTGATCATTAACCAATATTTGATGATTTTAGTCTCATATTAATAAACAAAAATTAGTCATGTCATTCACGCGGTGCACAGAGCCTCGATTAGAAGCGTTTATATACGTTAACTGACTTCAAAACAAATATTTTCCTATCTAAAAACCTATGCAAGTCCAGAAATATTGCTACAATGTTTCTCTTTTCATGTCTAATAGCTTAAACTATTCATTAATATTATGGATGCTTCGTTCCCATGTTCGATAACTGTAATTAAAATGACTCCATATCCGATGGTACTGTTTCTGACTTATTTTGTTTTACATTTTGATAATTATCAGAAAATAAATATAATGTTACGATGAGAATCATCTACATCTGTATGAGTTACATGGATTTATATGGGTTAAAAAGGGTTACATGGATTTATGAAGTCGTAAGTCACTTAGGTGACCACCAAGCAATCCAGGATGGGTTTCAGTGTCATTCTAAGATAATTTTAGGAATTAGTTTCAAAATTTAATGATAATTGATGATTTAAAATTGAACATTCAATTCTTAACTTCCACGCTCCAGGATCCTCTCTGTAACACAAATCAAGTGAAGTGCTCCATAATATGATTATTTCTGTATACATTACTTCAAAATACAGTTATTTATTTATTTCATATTTCAAAAGTCATCCGCCCATCAGCAAACTTGAAGCATAGCAGAGATTTTGAAAGATTTTTGATGCTCAAATTTGTTTTGAATGGGAATTGAGATATTCAGTATCTAAATATATATGTCCTCATTCAAAATGAAACATTTCAGTAATAATGGTTTTAATATTTACTTTTGATCATTAATTATCAATAAAAAAATCTGTTTTTATTAAAGTTGCCAAACACAGTATACAACATACATTTTTTGACATTAAAACAAATCTAAATTATAAAAAAAATTTAAATTCATTAAGAAACTCCTATAAAATAACGTATATAATTGGTATGCTCTGTTTGATTTTCTTGCAACAACTCCACTGCACAAGACTGCACTGCACAAGACTGCACTGCACAAGACTGCTACTGCACTACACAAGACTGCACTGCACAAGACTGCACTGCACAAGACTGCACTGCACAAAACTGCACACTCTCCAAAATTTTCCCCTCTCTATCGCGCCTGTTCTAAAATATACCTCAAGTCATTACTCTCATGCACCTCATTTAGTAACATTTCCATTAAAACCAGCCTGTCCGTTTCATTTACTGTTAAGTAGAATTGTTTGCGAAGGATTTGCATATACGATTACTCGTCATGATTCCTCAATAAAATTATCTTCCGTTAAAACAAAACATATACATTGGTTGAAATAGAAAAATAATATTTGCATTGCACAAGTGGAATGACTGGCAAGTAAAACCATTTATTTCGAACATAAATCACGGCGTAAGAACAGTTGTATACCGTTATAGGAATCTTCATAATTAAAACACACGCATCAAATAAGCATTTACTTCTCTTCACTTGCTAGCCTAAACCAAAGTAAAACTTATGATTATAACTAAATTTACCATGTGCAAATTAACACCCGAGATACAGGGAACAGAATTAATAAAAACAGTGGACTTGAGAACTAGGAATTCAAAGTTTCACTTCATATATTACCTGCAGGTTGTATATAATAATATAATATATGATCTTCCCTCGTCACCTTTGTGAAGGTTTTTCACTTGTCCTCACGATTTAATCTTAAACATTCTTCCCTTTGTCCGGTATAATGTTCATACGTTACTACGGTATGTTAGCCAGCATAGGCAGGCACTTTACGACCAAGCACAGAACTGTAGTCACACAATCCGAGCTTTAACTCAATAATTTGATAAGTTTTAACCACAACGCAGCAGCTGCAATACCCGACGGAATTGCGCTACGTATATATTACGATGCATTTACTTAAATGTACGTGCTTTTATTGTTCGCAATGAATTTTTTCAAGAAATGCTTCGTAATCGTCAGAAATCGTGCAAGAACCATAACGCGTATCAAATTATTCCACCCTTTACACCAAAGAATTTTTTTCACAACCATCATGCATGAAGCACTCACCCTTTTTCCTCTCACCCGTCCCCATATATGATGCATATAACCCTCATATCATACACTCCTGCTCTCACAATAAGAAGTAGGTCTCCACATCAGCAACACATGAAGCATACATTAATACCTTATCATTACTTTGCCTTCAATTATATATTACCTCATAATTAAGATTGCCCGAATCAAAGTCTGTCTTAGTGGAGCATCACAATTGAATGGATGAATGGAGCGTAGCAGTTGCTAAGCAGCTTAAGAATGCTCTTGGTTGGGAAGGTGATGTGAGACCAATTACAGCTCTAGCATACATAGCGTGGCCAGTAGCGATGAAACATGGTGATGTTCGCACGAAATAATCCTCCTATTTTTATGCTATGAATTATTGTGTCGAGGGAATAAACCCAAATTTTGTCTTGTGCTTCTCAGAAAAGATGAGATATTTTATTGCTTTTAATTCTGTATTGTGTCGAGGGAATAAACCCAATTGTTTCCTGATGCTTTTGATAGAAAATGAGATATTTTATTGCTTTTAATTCTGGGAGAGCTGCTTCGTCCTGGATCATATCTCTACGATAAACCACAAAAAATTATTGTGATCGTTCTATATGTTGTGAAAGCCACTATAATTCTGTCGAAAAACGAATGAGCTTTAAAATCGATTGTTAGTGATCATTCTACTTCGTAGAGGCCGCTATTATTCAATTTAAAATCATAGTGAAATAGTTATCCTCTAAGGCTGTTGATAAAATATAGGTGAAAGAGTGTGCGCGTTTAATTTTAGAAGCAAAAATACTACAGATTGAGCTAATTATCACCGGTTGGAAATTCGTTAGCTTTACCGCAGAAATTAGGCTATCAAATGATTGCCAGGAAAAATAATTTGTCATGAAATGATTATTAAATATTTTTCCTAACGGAATTGTTACTAAATACTATGAAATTCAAGGCATATTTGGTTGAAAACTCAGATTATCGCAAAGTAACACAGTAATGACAACCGTTAGCTGCCAGAGTTAAACGACGTCTCTCCTCCCAAACTTCAACACGATTCTCCCTGAAATTAAACTTTTCTTATCACAAATTCTCCCTCTCATCTAACCTGCGCTGTAATACCTCTTCCCCTGAACTTGCTTTCATCTTCTTCTCAATAAAAATCCCATTAACGCATTAGATTCAATTAAACATTCAATTAAAACGCTCCAAATAAAATTAGTACTTGACGCGTGGCAGTTAGCACTAAATCCAAATCCTAATCCATGTTGTCATGCATCAGCAGCTGATAAACAAAAACAAAGCAAAGCACAGAAAAGTCTGAACTGCCAGTTTCTTTAAGGGGTTATTTATTATTGTGCTGTTGGTTCCTTTCTTCACTCCTGAGATTCCACGAGATATAGAATTATTATATCATTGCTCCGTATTTTTACATAAAGTAATTGTTTAATACCCGCCACGATTTAATCAGAAGATAATTAATATTGGGAGTAAAAACGATGATTTATGTAAAATTATAGATAATACAAACCATTTAGAGTATTTTCCTACTCTAATCTGTGTGTTTATTCCTTTGAATATTTGAACATTCATGGTGCAGATTACACGACGAATTTGTCTACAATCAATAAGGCTACCTTGGTAACCAATGCACTGCCTCCACCCTATGTCGCTCGGACCTTGAAACTTCACTGCTCGGTCAGCCTAAAACAATTCGCACAAACACTGAATGATGGCATAGCGTTATCGTATTAACCTCATCAAAAACTATTCAAGTCAACCAAGCTGTAGTTCATCAACATAGCCGCAGTGGAGGGTGTTCACTTATGACAGATTTTATAATTAATTTCTTATAGTTCGTAGAAACAAGACCTTATATATTAAAATTTGTGTGGGAGTTCGAGATAGTAAATTATTTGAAATTAAAGTTGTATGAATTTAATTGCAAACGACTCTACGGGGTTATCGCGTAATATTTAGATAGCGTTTTAGCTAATTTAGCAACGATCTTGTATTGCCAATGTATTTTTTACCATTAATACGCTACTGAATCATCTTTTTGCGAGAGTTTTCCTTCGAAATTTGTTTGAGGCAGAACGGGACAGGATTTTTGAGTAATTCTATGAGAGCTGAAACAGTTTTTTTCGCTCAGTCGCCATCAACACCTGAGCGTAAAGGCTATCGAGCTAGTTTTAGTTTTTGCATTTAATGACAAACAAAAAGAGTCTTTTGTCCTAACAGAATTCACACGGCGCTAAATCTATAATTAATTTATCTTCCAGTATGCTACAGTTTGTCTATTTTCAAGTATCAACAAGAATTTAAAAGCTTACAACACGCCAAATAAATTCATAATATCATTATATGGAATATGTAGACGACTAGCGCCATCATCACTTCAGAACCTGGAAGAATGTAGCTACAACCAATAGAGAAAAGTTGGTGTAAACATGAAAGTGTTAAAAATCTGAGTACCAAATACACACAGCAAGGGACTTAAAAAAATATTGATTACATAATTCAAGCGTACTAGAATTGGAGACATTTATAAGGTAAGGTTTCAGGTATAAAATCCAGAAGGAATCCTTACATGCAAGGCAACAGAGGCGGAGCTAAAACCTTTTAATGGCTCTCGGACACTGACTTGTTACACTCTGCAGAGTGGAGCCAGGTGCTCAGCTGAATAGAGAAAATACAGTCTTTATGTCATATCTATTGAATGTTTTTATTGATTATTGTCATCGATTTTTTCTGTATACTTCAGGTTTTTACCTGATGATGGAGCATTTCTTCGAAACGTTAATAATATGGCGAATTTGCTTCTTGTTAAATTCTTTATAAATTCGTAGTGCAAAACACTAATGATATAAGAATTTCTATCGGCAATATAAGCAAATTTCATTGAGAGCACGTTTTAAATCTGGGCAAACAATGCGAAAATGTTTTCGGAAAGTTTGTAAATTTGTTCGATGTGACATGAAGTGTAAACCGAAACGAGGATGGAAGAAGGCATTGGCAGCTTTAATTGTCGCCAGTGCACTTTTGCACTTGTACTTCATCTTACGAATCCCATACTACGACATCCTTGGTGAACTTCAACGCATAAATTTAAATAAACCTGACCAAATGTCGTCACTGACGCCGCCATCATCTGACGCTGCATCGAATCATGAAGCCGGAAAGAATGACTCAATACTGTCAATAATCGATGGAAAAACATATGTTTCAACGAAGGGATTGAGAGATATAAAGACAGAGGTTCCCTTAAAAAATCAACAGGAAAACAATGGATTTTTGAAAAAAATTACACAGAGTATGGCAGTGATTGGAGTACCTGATAAAACAAAGCAAAAAGGCACGAAGGCTGTGGCTGTCAAGAAAAATCCCCAAGATGCGCCTTCTGGATTAAGTAGAGATGAAATCTTTGCACACTTTGTGCTTCCATCATTGGACTGGAAAAAGAAAACCGGTCCAAATGACAAAAAAATTGTTTATGACTTGTCCGAGAAGGCCAGGGCTGAGGGAAGAATTGGCCCTTTCATTGTAGATAGTAAAAGAATCTTTAAAAGCTTAATGTTTTACAATGGAACGCGCTTGCAAGAGGCTAATAGAACGAAACCCAAAGATACTACTAGAAGCAAAATTCTTTCAGAGTCTTTCAACGAAATCTCGCAACAGGTTCAGAAAATGAATGAACAATCCAATGCATCACTAATATTGCTAACTCGTTCTAAACCTACAGCAACGACACTAATGTCATCACGCATGTCTGAATCTTCCGTTCAAGTTACGCAAAAGCAGCGAATATCGCAAACTGTGATTGAATTTAAGGGAAAAACTTCCGTTGCGACTCTACTACCAAAAGGAAGCGATGCAGCGAAGACTGAGAACATTACTTTAAAATCTGGTCCAAAGACGGAACCGGCCAAAAAATCTTCAAGGACAGTTCCGCTTTCCCACAAAATAAGCTCTGACGAAGTTTCACTCAATGAATCTCAGATAAGTATCATCAAAGAAAGAATTTCTGCCATCAACGATGAACAAAAAATATACAACGCAGAAAAATTCGGCCCATTATTGATTGACTCAACTCTCATTGTAGTACAGGTTTGTCATTAAGAATTAATTTTAAAGAATTTAAACGGTTTGGCAGATAAAATGAGTTATATTTCTGAAAAATTATTATATATCAGTTGAAAAAAGTGTATGAAGTTAGACCATTTTACCATATGGCTTTCAAGCACAGCTCCAACTGGTGGCGAAAAAACACAATAGGCTCTTTATTTTCTACATAATATGGGCACTAGAAGAACCAAAATCATAAGTTCAGAAGTCGTATATTACCAAATTTGGTCTTGCCTTGATTCTTCATCGAGTTTGTATTTTTCCAAGGTCCACAATCGGGAAGCAACTCTGAAGTTGCTGATACGCAGTCTTTCAGAGGCCAGACATATCAACGAGTCTTTGGTGATCTTTAGTCACGACCTTTGGAGTGACGAAATAAACTTGATTGTTCGGAATATCACCGCATTCCGAACGATGCAGATTTTCTTTCCGTTCAGTGTACAATTACATCCCAAAAAATTTCCTGGCCAAGATCCAAGAGACTGTGCTAGGAACCACAAGCGTTCGAAGCAGTAAGAGATGAAAAATATAAATTTACTAACTTAAATAAATTTAGTAGCTACACGTTATTTCCTATATCTATTTCAAATCTTACTGGAACATAGATTATAGTAACACTCATATTTGTTTTTCCGATCTGATGGTTGAGGATAGAATATCAAGACGTCACTAATAATGTGATCATTTTATTATCAGAAGGCAAAAATCATGACGGCAAAGAACTTAATTATTGCTTAATATCAATTCCCAGACAGAAATCGTTGCGATTCAGGATTTGCCAAAACGAAGACTGGCCTGACTCCTTCGGTCACTTCAGGGAGGCATTCTATACGCAAATAAAACATCACTGGTGGTGGAATAAGTTCAGGTAAAATGAAAAAGTTAAGGTAATCTATCGAAACTAATGTATAATTTTGGTTTATAAGTGGTAGAAGAATTTATCGAATGAATAGCTGTCTATAAGAGATTCGAAAAAACTTTCTTGCGCAAAGAATATCTTCACGCAGCGGTCCAAGTTGAGACTTTTGTTTTCATGTTAAATTATAGTTCCAAATTTTACTATCTGCTAGGACGAGCTGATCCTGCACTCACATTATTCGATATTGATAACTTTAGCTCCATTCGTGTTTAAAAAGTCAAAACGAAAATATATGAATTGGGGCCAGATGTGAAACTGGAAAGGCGCCCGATGATAGTAGAATAAAAAATTAGATCTAATTTAACGAGAAATAATATCAAATATTTTTATAAATCCTTCGTTCACATTAAGAATACGGGTTCCAAGAAGAATTCATTCTAGCTGTTCTAGCATGACAAAAAAAACATTTGTTGAGGCAAAATTAAGTTAGAATTATTATATTCATATAATTCAAATTCTCTTCAGTTCATATATTTGACTAGAGGTAAATAATTGTGAAATTGTTTTTTGTGTTAAGCTTATAGATGAAGACATAAAAAGACGCATTTTATGCTAGTACAAGCTTGAAGCAACAAAATATCTTCTACATTTAATTTAAATCAGGTCCTTAAGATTCAAATAACAATTAATGAAAACTTCAACTCTTGAGTAGCATGTTCAAATTCCGGCATTAACAAACAATTGTGTATTCGTGCGTCATGAAGTTGCGCATGGACACTGCAACTAATTTCGCTATAAATACAGTCTCATTGCAGTAGAACATACACTCAAAGAAATGCGTGGGAATTTGCCCAAAGAAAGATGCACTTTTTATTTGTGCAGTTCATCATGAATCGACAGAAGTGAGTAGGGCGAGAAAGTGCGTCACTCTCTGGATAGTAATTATTGCTTAATTTCTCGTGCGCATAAACATTCGTATCGCGGATACGCAAGATATTTGAGCAGCTACAAGTCACCCACGACTTTTGCGTGACTCTGTTTTTGTGACCAATTTCTTCCAAATTATTTAGTACAAACCCTTCGATAATTATATATAAATATTATGTATTATCGCTGCGCAGGATATTTAAAGTCCTGAACGTTAGCCGCAGCTGGTCCAGCGCAACGTTAAACCGATTTCTTAATAACGAAAGACCATCCGTGGTAATGATATCTAACTATTCTGTACTTGGCTGCGCAGGGTGTTTTATGAGCTGAACATCACCCGCAACTGGTCCGGCCCGACGTTGTGTCATCCGATTCTTCATAACGATGGACAATCTGCGATAATGATATTTAATTATTCTGTACTTGGCTGCGCAGGGTGTTTGACGAGCTGAACATCACCCGCAACTGGACCGGCGTGGCACTGTTCTTGGAGGACGACCATTACGTTGCTCCAGACTTCCTCCATGTCCTGGAGCAACTCAAGCAGCTTGCCGTCAGCGCTCAGGGACGCTTCCTCTCACTAGCCAACCTGGAGAAATCGAATATCAACAATGACCGAAATTTCGTTAGTATAGACGATGTCTAAAATGCTTAGTATTTGAAATTTTAATGAGGTACCATTTTATGTAACATATTTGTCAAAATAATATATGTACATATAGGTTTGCATTAATTGAGCAAGCAAGCTTGTCATTAAAGAAAATGATTTTTTAACCAAATAAACCATCTGAACCACGCCAACATTTATACAACTTATTACCACGCCAACATTTATATAATTTTTTACATCGTTTGAATTACCTTATACAAACTTCAACTTATAAGCACATTTTAATAACAGGCCTACCGCGCGACGCCAGGCAGTCCTAAATTCAACACGGGACTTGCGTTCGACCAGGTCGCGTGGTCGCTCATCAGATCCAAAGCCAATTTCTTCTGTTCATATGACGACTACAACTGGGACTGGACCTTAGCAAGCCTCATGTACAGCGATAAGCGACTCATTGACGTAGCTTTTGCTGTAAAAACATCGCGTGTGTTTCATCTGAAGTCGTGGTGAGTGCGTATCAAATTTCTGTAAAAATATCGTCGGTATGTCGTGTGAAGTCGGGTGAGTAAATAATTAATTTGCTTTGAAAACATCGCGTATGTTTCATCTGAAGTGAAGTCGTGGTAAGTATTTAATTTATGTAACAGCATGATGAGTATTCCTTATGAAGTCGTAGTGAGAGTGCGATTTAAACAGTTTTTAAATTAAGCTCTGAAACTCTTCAACATTACACGCCGGGTAATGATAATTTCATATCACTTATAACAATATTTGGAGCCATGTGACTGTATTGACTTTGAAGCTAAAAGTTAGTGATGTACGTTCAAAAATGATCAGTCGTTTAAAGCGAAATTGAATGATTATGGGGTTCACAGCTAAATTGAAATAAGCATAACCTTAATCTTACATGTAAAATAATAATATATATTTTAATTTTATCGCTTAACCACTTATGAAATATTTTTTATTAAAATAATAAATTATTTATTACATTTTTTAAGAATTTTTAATTAATCAATTACTTAATTAATAGCTAGTTATTAATTAAATGTTTAAATAACAATTATGTAATTAATTAAGATATATTAATTATTAAAAATTTTCTTTTAATTATAAAGTGCGCTTTATTAAAAATATGTTTCAGTGGAACACATTCAAAAGGTTCTAGCTGCTCGAACGGAGCACCAGACGCCGAAGTGGTGCCGAAACTTGCCGCCCTGAAGCCCTACCTCTTCCCCGAGTCTTTGGTTCTCCAGGGGACGCTGCAAGGCTCGCCGCTTAGGAAGGGTAACGGAGGCTGGGGCGACCGTAGAGACCAGGAACTGTGCCTCGCCATGGCTAATGGAACAGCGTCTGAAATGACCCTTCACCGTATCCAAAATATGACCGAAGTTCTTCCCTAAAATTAAAAAAAAACAGGATAGACAGAGAACTGTTTTCGCTAATGGAACATCGTCTGAAATGACCCTTCAGCGTATTCAAAATATAACAGAAGTTCTTCCCTAATAAAACAGGATAAACAAAGAACTGTTTTTTCTGAAGGAACTGCGTCTGAAATGACCCTTCAGCGTATCCAAAATATGATTGGAAGTTCAACCGATCAATCAAAGAAAATTACCAGAATCTAAGACGTAACGTTTATCGAAGTTTGAGTGGCGAAGTATGTGCTATTAGTGCAGAAAATTGGTACACTCATAGATATTAAAATAACTTTGTCCAAATATCGATGAAATTTGTGCCTTGTGTGTTTCGGACCTAGTTTGGTCCGGCTATAGCTCATATAAGTGCTAAGGAAACAGGCACTTTAGAATTTATAAGAATTTGGAATATGCTTTATTAGCATCCGTATTTTTAAAATCATATGGTTAGTGTTAGCGATTTGGCTCACTTATTCTTAGCCATTATTTGATTTTAACACTCGCACCTCTTGGAAACTGATAAAACGACTATACTAATACTGAACTGATACTAAATAATCTATACTGAACTGAAGTAATCTATAATCTATACGATACTGAACTGATTTATGGAATGGATTTTTTTCAGTATGACTGACTGCGCATATATCACATTTATCGTTACTAATGACAGGATCATTATTTAACATATTTATAAGCGCAAACTCGTTTTTATCTAACACTTCAATTTAGTTTCAATTCAGTCTAAAGGCGCCATAAGATCAAAATCCTTTTTTGAATAATCTTATTCAGAATATAAATGCAATTTAAATTATGAATGAAATAAAATGATAAAAATTTCTAAATGTAGTTCGCAAAATAAGGTGCTACCGGCAGGTCACATACGAAGGAAAAATTCCCATTATTAAAGAGTATGATAAAAAAGACAAGGGCTAATTATAGTCGCAGTATTCAAATTGCATTATTTAAAAAAGCTTCTCAGCCGGAATTTAAATATAGGGAATTAATTTTATTCCATATGTTTACATTATTTCTCATTTAATTAATAGACAAAATTCCATCCGCCCCCAAGCTCAATTTCCAAAGTATATAATCAAGGAAATAATTACATGAATCGAAACGTTAATACTATAATGTGATCAAGAAGATATTGTTTCTTCCACCTGATGCATGTTGGCGTGCTGAAAAGGCACATATGTCTTACATCTATAAGTAAGAGGACGAAGCAAAATAGTTTTATTTGGTACCCAGCGTCAATTAGCTAAAATAGTGCCATGTATTGTCACACAAATACACCCGTTCACAATTGGTCTACGTATAAATGAATGAATTTCTATTATAAAGTTTCACGACGTCTTTAGAGTCGCCAGTTCACACCTGCACCAAGTCAGGTTTTTGATCTGCATTGTTAAGTTCAACTGCCTCCAACTGCCGTTGTGAAAGAACGTTCTATTCTAGTCATTAAAATTATGCACACGCTTTGAATTTCTCGCACTGGAAATATAAATAAACTATTTCTTTTCACCAAGATTACTTGTGCACGGATTAATAACCCTGTATCTGTAGGCTAATAAAAGACAATACAAAAGTAGAAGTTTAATAGTAACTCAAATAGATCATATAGAAGCATGAAGTGGGCAAGAATTCAGCATTGAGTTTGAATATTTATTTACTTTTTTCATTTGGCAAACGATTTCAAAGCCATATTTAGGATTTGATGGATTTTTGATAGGATCAACAGAATTTGATGTGTCCAGTGGGAAAATAAAAGACTGGGAGAAGTACGAAAGATTGTTTTTCTTCAAACCACATTTCTTTTGCGTCCGGACAACAGGGTTTGAGAAATTCTGCCTGTGATATAGTTACTGTATTTTGGGTGCGGACAATAGGGTTTGAGAAATTCTGCCTGTGATATAGTTCTGTCTCTTATACACATCTAGATGTGTATAAGAGACAGCCTCATAACGTCATACGTAGCTCCTCATAACGTCATACGTAGCTCCTCATAACGTCATACGTAGCTCCTCATAATCTCATACTTTTCAATGTCTTTCTTATAACGTTTTTTAAGCCTTTGCTGTCCTATGGTCGCGAGTTTTATTTTTGCCTTGGCCAAGATATTCAACCTTAGGAGGGATTTTCTTCATGTTTGATCTTGAGCTCCTTATAGATTAACTATGTTGCTACAGCTCCGAGCGCGCGTAGTGTCAGGTAGAATTAGTTATGTCTTGTTATAATCACTGCGTTTTTACTATATTTCAAATTCTAAGAGCGAGACTTTGATCATAAGAAGAACAAATCTGTTTTATCTATGAGCGGAATGCTTAGAGGGATATTACTTTAAGGTTCTTATTCTTAATCTAAGCTTGCATAGTTATTTTTTAGGAGACCGCAAGGTTTCACTAAACGTGGACGAAAATTCGTTCATGGAAACGTAAACTGCTCAGTTTAGCGAAGCTCCTTCGAGCAGAATAAAATTTTGCTCATGTTATTTATTATCTAATATTTTCTCACAGAAATATGGACGTGTTGGGAAGATTCCATTCGCTTTAGTTACTGATTTTCAAGTCACTTGTGATTGGATATTCTAAGAACCAGATCCTGATGCCGGCAGAGACATAAAAGCATAAATAAATGTTGATCACATGGATGTCATCTTGACCATCTTGGGAGATCCTTCAGCAACATAGGAGCATTTCTATCCTACGTCCAGGAGCTGTAAGTTATCCTAGTTCTATTATATTATTACTATATCATTACATTACCATATTATTATGTTATTTATAATAATATGTTATATAATAATATTATTGTATTATTATTCAAGTTGATCATTGTGAGATATCCTATTTTCCCCTATTTCTCTCTCCTGTTTGTTCGCGTTGACCCTTATGAAATATCCTATTATAGTCACCTGTAAGATTATTGTTTACGTTCATCATTTTGAGATAATACCAACAAGTTATTCTGGTAATGAGATTTTTTGTAAGTTATTCCGTCACATTGTTATTAAAAGTTTTGATATCGGTACGATATCGGGGTTATTAAGGGTTGGATTAACAAACGGTTTTTATATCGAGATTTATTGTACCAGATTTTTATTGGAGTTTATCATATGATGTCGTTATTAAGCTTTATGATGCAAGATTGTAATTAATGCTTATTTTGAATTTTTAATTCAGGGTTATAATGACAAGTTACCCATGCTTGCCCTCATACGTCAAAAATAATTCCTGAATTCTTCATTTTCTTTGCTGGTTCTCAAGTTTTTGAAAATGAATAGGTACTCCATCAGTCTTACAGGTAGCTGATGAGAAGATGAAAATAATATGTGGTTTTATCTCATATTATCGCAATTTTTCGACATTATGCTCTTTCTCTAGACTTATCCTATTTTTCTTCAGGAGTTAAAGGATTTGTGAAAGAAAGATTTTCACTTGGCTCTGTCGGAAAAATTTTCGTGTTATTGACTGACTCTACGGCTTTAAAGAATATTTAAATTTCAGTAATGATTTCCGACTTGTTCAATAAGGGAATTTCGTAACTTACAAATGAAATTAAATAAGAATGGAACATTGAATCCTGTTTCTCCATATGATGCTTACAATAAGTTGCACGGGTCCCGATCATTTGCATCTTTTGTTTAGCTATTTTCTATCTGAGGTTTATCATGTCGATATAGTATCGATAATATTTGTAATATTTCCATGCATACTTCAGCTGAATTATTTCTGTGTGGGAAGTTTTCCCATGATCGAACATTAATCTACGGATATTACTGCAAAGATTTAAGTATCTTGGTCCATCACTGCACTTATGAGCCTTTGTCCATCAAGCAAAACGCTCAAGTAAATATCTAAGAATAAATATCTGTACAATTCAAGAAGCCATCATTTTAAGAAGGGATAAAACTAAAGGATATAACAGTTTTAAATGTAAAATTGAAAAAAATGCAGAAAACACATCACCATGTCGTATTTTCCCAATAAAATCGTTGTTGCCAGTTGAAGTCGAACCATCTCGTTTTGAAATTCTCAATGCTTTTTAATTACAATTGTTGCGAATTTCTGAGAAAATATAAAGTCGATGCTTCCTTAAAAAGTAAAAATTTAAGGAGTTCATATTGACTTGGAATGACGGGATCAAATGAAAGCGACAAATAAATTATTTAACGATATTCAACTCAAGTCACGACAAGATCATTAACTAAATTACCTTAGAAGTCAATGTTATCAAATATGAGCTCGCGGCTGTTGGAACTATAATAAAACAAGGCAATTACTAAGTGCAATTAATGTTTTATGTTAGTAAACTTATTCAAAGGCCGAAAAGCAAACCCCGGAAGCCATAATATTCTGTCAGTTGTGTCAACATGAGAATAATTACGCAGGTTGTTAATGCGTCGAACGCACGTCGCGTTAGCGCGCCTCCAGCTGAGCCGCTGCCACCGTATGGAGCACATCGATCGTCCTTGCAGCTCTCCGTCCCACTCTGTCCCCTCTCTGTCCCACTCAGTCACGTCTCCGTTGTTCACAATCTCCTCTCTGGCCCTCTCTAGCCCCTCCCTGTTCCGCCCAAGCTGCTCTTTGTCTTACTCTAACGCCTCTCTGTCCCACTCAGTCACGTCTCCGCCCCTCTCAATCTCCTCTCTTCCCCCTCCCTGTACCACTCTATTTGCTCTCGGTCTCTCTCTTATCTCTCTCTCTGTTTATTTTTTGCTTGCTCCTTGCTGTCCCTCTTTGACTCCAGCTTATTTCTGTCCAATTAAAACATTTTTTCTCTCTTCGTCCACGAAAGTCCGGCGCTGTCACGCGTAAGCTATCTTAGCCTGCACCCAAAGCGTCAGTCATAGCCATCTTTGTCAAACAGAGATCACCCACAGAGACTCACCGATCTTACCTATTTCTTACGTTGCCCTATCCCACTCAGTCTTAAGTCTCTCCAAACATGGGGCCGCTTTGCTAAATAAGAAAATAAATACCAATTTTTCAATACGTTTCTTCGCTTCCGCCTAAGTGGGATTTGTTATTAACGTTCTCAACGGTAGTTGTGCAGTAAATTATGTTAATAGATTTGGTTTAATTGGTTTATCGCATGGCAGTAATTTCCTGATATGGCGTTTGTGATCTCGGTGGTTCACGGTCTGCCTCCAGTGGCAGCTTCCTTGCTTCAGTCATCTTAAAAAAATGATGTAATTATGCTAATTAGAAGAATAATTAGCGATGCTAATTATGATTAACATTGACAAAGCCAATTGTGACTAACATTGTTAATGCTAATGCACCCGCGTAAAGTACGAAGATGATGTTTATGGAGTGCGCTACAGCAACGGGCATGAAGAGAATATAAAATAATAAATTGCAGGGTACTATGCAGTTGAATTTTGCTTTGGACAAATATTATTAATGTTGAATAGAGCTATGACCGAGCACGGATGTTTAATTAGAAGATAATTCAACAGAATAACAGAATACTTGACAGTAATTTAGGATGAAAAAATAGTATTTTGAAACTGAGACTAGGACGAGCCGGCTTTTTGATTGAAATAAGACAAAACACAGCTAATTTTTATTTCACCATAATCATTAATATCAAATAATCAAAAATGTATACATTAACATATACAAATATAGTCGATTTTTTCTATAACGTAATCGGTAAGAATACGCATAATTTTAAAAGCTTAGATGTTCTCGTGGAACGATGAGGTAGGTATTAAATGTTCAATTATCTACCACAGCCAATACACATAACATAAAATATTTGAAGAAAATGTAAAATTAATTTTATTGGGTCAAATTTGTGGGGTGCTGTTTTATTAAACTTCATCCAATATTTGTGTTTTAAGGTTGAACGCGCGTTTAGAGCGATATTCTTAAGTTGATGAGAGTATTGAGTAATTATTATTTTCTGAAATGATAATAATTTCTGTAATTTTTTTTTATATTTCGATAAACTATTTGAATTAGTGCACTAATTTATAAAATTTTTCCTTTATATTATTCTTTCTTATGATTTTCATGGAAGCTTCAACTAACTTAACCTCAAACCTCCGACCTCAATCGAAAGGTGGAATCGTTCCAATGCACAAAATTTGAATTTTATAAAATGTAAGAGAGCAGCTCGATCATAGCCTGGAAGATTGAAATGACGAAAGTCGACCACGGGAGGCATTTCACAACAATGTAAGTGTGAAGTGTTGAAACTCGCCCATTCATTAATGGATGACCATTAAATAATAATCGTGTTTTCCGATCCGATTTCACAAATATCAGATTTCAGATTTCACAAATAAGAATATTTACTTATCAATGAAGGACGAATATCACATTTATAATGATTGATGCTTAGAAGTTAACAGTTTAATTGTTTTTTTTTTCTTATAAAATGCGTTTAACGCGCTCATTGAGGTGTGATGATATCTTATACCAGAAAATTACGGAACAGACCATTGCTAAATTGTATTAATTAAATGGTGCGCGAATGATTCGTTGTCTATAGTTGGCATCCTCTTATAACGACCATAAAAAAACGAGTTTTTTTCGCCTTCCCAGCTAAGCTTTTGTCATTTGAGCAGAAGTTAATGCTGGCTTTACGCCAATTAAATAAATCAAGTACATAGACGCAGATGTGCATGTTCAGCGAATTACTGAATGTTCATCCGTTCTGAGTGCAAAAGGTCAATAAGATTCTGGAAGACATGAGCTGTTGCAATTGCAAGACATAAAATAATTATCTACGACCCAGTGCTAAATGGATTCCATTTCGAGCAAAGACAATGGAATTATACTTATTATAATGGAATTATTTATTCGGTAGATTGAAATAAGTCGTTATCACAAAACATTTGCATTGAAAAAACCTATTGTAATTTTTTGATTTTTTAATTAAAAATGAATTTATAAAAATTGTTAGCTTTTTCAAATTCGCGAAATTTTTCCGCAAATTTGAAGTTATAAATCATTTACCTCCACAGGAATATTTTGTGGCTGGGTTGTTAGTAGTAAAATTTTACAAAACTATTGTATAGAACTTAATTTTGAAGAAGCTAATTATTTCCAGCATCAACAAGGCTGAAGACTTGTGGGAGCGGCGGCTACAAAAGGATGACACGTAACGTTATCCTTGTAGCAAACATTATCGAATTACTCTACGCTTTTTGCATGTCGCATTAATTCCACACAGGGAATGAATTTATAATCGAGATATGTGTTAGGTACTTGAAAATAAGAGACAATATTGCACAAGCCGTGTGTGTGCATTTAGTAACTATATCGTACACACCTCATAGTTCATTGTGCACGAATAATGCCAAATGCCACGGTTGAAAAGTTGTTAATGCACGCATTCCCTTGCGACAAACTAGTTCTCGGAAATTCTTTCTATTTGTTGGCAAATTATGCGACAAGATTACTGCAGGGACAATTCTGTTGTCAGAGTAAACTTCTGTAGAGCATAATTGCAGCCACACGCCTACGCATCGCGGGTGTTAGACGCAATTTTGTGATGCTTCTTCACTCGACGGAACTTTGTGGTATACCATCGATATTGAAGACATCCATTTACGTTACTGGGATCCGTCGATAACATTAATATGTTCTGATATTGTGTTTTTTTCAGGCAATGACATACTGAAAGCACCCACGCGTAACTCAATATAAAATTGACGATGCTGAGATCCGTCTATAACAATAATACCTACTAATGTTGTAGGTTTCTTTAGGTATTGACATATAGGAAGCAACCAAGGAACATCTAATAAGAAATACTTGACGTACTAGTATAATATCAAGAGATTAAGTGTTTGTATCAGGGCTACCACGCTCTTGTATTTAACAAATTCTTGAGATATGAAGCGGGTTAAGTAACTGCGATATCCAATAATTAATCGTACATACGATCTGAATACTATAATAATCGTAAATTACTGACAGCATTACAATCACTGAATTGATAGGTGTATACAACGCGGCTATCTCCCAGGAATATTAGCTCTGTATTAAGCATTTTCTGGATATCATAATTGTTAAGGCATTATTCTCATCTGAGGCGATAACCAAAATGTGGATAGTGAACCAAAAATACATGAAACTTCAAAATGAAAGGACTGTTAATTTCAAAGAATATATTCAATATGGTAAATGAATTTATAAATGAAATAGTTATTATAGAAATTTGATACAAGTTCTTCCCAAATTACTTTGATGAAATTTTTGTATAAATTCAGGTCTTACCTTCGTATATTTATTAGTAAGTTCGACATACATTAAAAAATATTTTTTTAAGTCAATATTTTCATCGCCGAACCTTGCAAGTCCTTCTGTTTGAATTTAATTTCCAGAGTCCTGTGATAGTAACATCGGAACAGAATGTCGTTGACATCACGTAAAAGGTGGAATATAAATTCGAAAAAGTCATTAGCTTCACTTCCGGGATCCATTTTCCCTTAGCTATCAAAATCACTGCCAGAAGCGAACCATAATTTCTAGGTCTACAAAATCCAACATGAAATCCGGATATTTTTCGCTGGAAAAATCTTGACGAGTTTATGATCGGTGAAGCTCACCGAAAATCCAGAAGCTTGAACGATTATTGCAAAACCTTCCTGCGGCGACGAGCTCTCGTTGACGTCAGCACTTTCTCTCTTTATCTCTCTTTCTCTTGCTCTCCTCAACCCCAGGAGCTGCCCACGCATCTCTCTTTCTCTTTCGCTCGCTTGTCTCCAAAGGTCAAAATGTGATAGCGCGCGTGCCGTGGCCGCTTCGCGCAGCCAACGCGCTTTTTTCGAGGTCACTTTCTCTGTGTTGAAAACTAGCATTAAAACATATGTTACATTAGATTCCAGTAAACTGAAATATTCATGTTGCATATGTTATGCCGGGTTTAAAAGTATTCAAGAGTTTCCCTTTAAATTTTCAAAGAATTTTTCTGTCAATCATATTACATAGTAGGCGATAACTTGTGAAGCCCTGAGGTGTCGGCGTGTGATGTGTGATTTTGACTAAGGAAATAATAGTCTTCATCGATGGTTTTTGACCATTGCTTTGTAATTTGTTTGCATTATTTTTTTTATGATAATCCTGATCGATTTTGTGTACCTATTTAAGCGACATTATTCCAATGTCCTTTGTTGTTTGAATGGCGGTGGAGGCAAACATGGCTCATGGGTGCACAGGCTATTTATTTTCACTTCATCACAAGTTCGCAACACTAATTACGTAAACTGTGAAATTGATGTCTTTCCAAGAGAGTAAATATATACAAATGTCCAGCGACTTTAGCCGACTTGATTAACTTAATCAGACAATCATTAGGAACATCGAACTTTAGTTCCAATCTGGACGAATTTTCTACGAAATTGTCCGCACTTGTTTTCTGTTCCTTTATTTGGACTATGTACGTAGGTACAGAAGATTCTGTACATAGTGAAAGATTCTACACCTAATTGAATTTTAGCAAGTAGGAGCTTGAAGGCATGGAAAATAACGCACTTATTAATAAATGACAAAACGTGTCCCATTAACTGTGCCTGATATAAACTTACATATATATGTTTCGGCCGTTGAATAGTGAGAGAGATCATGTCTTTAAAGCTGCAGTTCCCTTATGACGTCGCGACGTGGCCTTCATACGTGCAATTTTTTACAGGTGTGCCCATAACGAAGTATTCAGGACTTCATCCCGATGTCGTCGCGCAGCTCCTCCATCTCAAGATGAAGTTCCTCTTGAAGAAATTCTTACGACTTTCACGACCCCCGCGACGACCCCCAGACTCACTGGGCGGTCACCGTCTCTGCGCTTGCCATCGCTCGAGGAAGATCCAAGTCAGCCCTTGTCCACGACAGCGGCGCAGGCTACCACTTACGCCAGCCTGGCCTCTTCACATTTCAAAGAATCCATATCCCCATCCCTTTCCCCATCCTCACCATGTGCACTTTTACCATCATCATCATCTCCACGTCACTCTCTATCCGCTCATTTTTCATCACCGCGCACTTCGGTGACGTCCTTGCCTTCAACTTCTCATCCATCAACTTCATTGCATTCGACCCCAAGCCTAATGCCCCACATGATCCACCTACCAAAACCTGTAACTCCCACGTCACCTAACCCATCTTCTCCAAGAGCTGCAGCTGCTCCTAATCCTCCTCCTCCATCCCCTGTAGTTCGCCTCCAAGAATTTTTCGAAGATGAGAAGGACTCTTTAATAGCTATTTCTCAACGTTTGTATGCGCGTCTCTCAGAATGGTTAGGGAGGAAAAATCAACCACGAACAACACGACTAACCACTGAGCAACATGCGAGAAGCGTCTACGGGGTTTGGACCGAAAAAGACAAGCAAGATCTGCAAGCGTCCAGAAGCCGACTCTCATTAATGTCAAGAAGAATTGGAGGTTCTTTGAAGAAGAAGAACCTGTGGAGATTCGAGTTCCACCTTGTGTGATCGAAGAAAGACGCGATTCTGGATCTTCGGGTCCAATTCAGCCGGATAATCCAGATCATTTGTCTGAATGGACAATTCCTTGGGATCAGTTACGATTCGGGAATGTTCTAAGAAGAGGTAGTACGACAAAAATTTACAGGTTAGTTATTATGCAACTTGTATGAGTTTGATCTGGAATTGCGTTCACTAAATATTATTTTCACCGATTGAAATAAGAAGCTTATATTAAAATTAAAATTACTGCTAGTTACCCATATGTCGCCACTCAAATGATACTGCACAAAACTTATCGCACGCCATTAAGAAGTTATTCAATATTAATTTTTCATATTCAGTTTTGAATATGAAATAGATAATTTCTGTTGGAAGCCGGCGACACAAGCGCTGTTGCGTCTAAGTGAAATTGTTTATTCCAGAGGTCGGTGGCACGGCGACGTGATGATACACACATTCGACGGTGATGATAGCGCCGCTCGTCAACAGTTCGACCGCCTGGTGACGGTGTTGGCGCTGATACGTCACGAGAACGTCGAGCTGTTCATGGGNTAATGCTCATCACAACGCCAGTTGACAACTCTGTAATGCTCATCACAACGCCAGTTGACAACTCTGTAATGCTCATCACAACGCCAGTTGACAACTCTGTAATGCTCATCACAACGCCAGTTGACAACTCTGTAATGCTCATCACAACGCCAGTTGACAACTCTGTAATGCTCATCACAACGCCAGTTGACAACTCTGTAATGCTCATCACAACGCCAGTTGACAACTCTGTAATGCTCATCACAACGCCAGTTGACAACTCTGTAATGCTCATCACAACGCCAGTTGACAACTCTGTAATGCTCATCACAACGCCAGTTGACAACTCTGTAATGCTCATCACAACGCCAGTTGACAACTCTGTAATGCTCATCACAACGCCAGTTGACAACTCTGTAATGCTCATCACAACGCCAGTTGACAACTCTGTAATGCTCATCACAACGCCAGTTGACAACTCTGTAATGCTCATCACAACGCCAGTTGACAACTCTGTAATGCTCATCACAACGCCAGTTGACAACTCTGTAATGCTCATCACAACGCCAGTTGACAACTCTGTAATGCTCATCACAACGCCAGTTGACAACTCTGTAATGCTCATCACAACGCCAGTTGACAACTCTGTAATGCTCATCACAACGCCAGTTGACAACTCTGTAATGCTCATCACAACGCCAGTTGACAACTCTGTAATGCTCATCACAACGCCAGTTGACAACTCTGTAATGCTCATCACAACGCCAGTTGACAACTCTGTAATGCTCATCACAACGCCAGTTGACAACTCTGTAATGCTCATCACAACGCCAGTTGACAACTCTGTAATGCTCATCACAACGCCAGTTGACAACTCTGTAAAGCCCATCACAACGCCAGTTGACAACTCTGTAATGCTCATCACAACGCCAGTTGACAACTCTGCCAATAAAATTTCAATTTTAATATCGGGAACACATTGAGTTCATTTCATTTATAAATTTTTAGCCTAGAATTGCATAACGCTTCTCGTGATATAGCTTTATGTTCACATAATAATATTATCAAACCATAAAACCCCTTAATTTCTCAGCAAATAATTCTGCCAATATTTTATAAATATCCCAACGAACAATCTTGCTAAAATTTATTTAGACATACCAACATAATTTTGATACCTCATTTCACCATCCAGCCCACATTACTTAATAACTCTCAATACAAGTGTCGACACTTAATAACTCTCAATACAATCCTGCCGACACTTACTTTATAACACTCAAAGCAATCCTTCCAGCCCATATACTCAATAAAGATCCTGCCACCGCAAAGAGGCTGAAACTCTGACACACTAGAATATAAAATTTACCCACTGGTTTAATTAATCCTTTTTAGTAGCACTATTTATCTCACATCACGTCTGTTAATTCGACTTCATATTAAGACATTATTTTTTCAAATGAAGAATCTGCACCTATCAAACACAGCTGTGCTGACTGACCGAAAGATTAAAAATTTAAATTTTGGTCTAATAAGTTTGCTTCATCAGAGACAGAATATTCCGTTGCTGTTCTCACGTCATTAATTTCTTGAACGCGGCATTCGATTAGAAACTGCACCCTTATTTGCAGCAGGCTGCACCTTGTTATTGCTCTGAGAAACGTTTACTACTTTTTTATTGGTAGCATAGTAGAAAGCTTTATTGACAGATTAGTAGATAGCTTCATTGGCAGTTAAACTGTTGTTTTCACCTCTTTTTCTTCTGATTGAGTTAACGTATTTGACTGATTACTGAAATTTATTGCATGTAAGAACACTCTGTTATCTTTTAAAACCGGCTAGAAGTAATACAGTATGATCAAATTTGGACGAGCATTCATTTTTAGCGCATTTTCTCATTTATGGAAAAAATGCACTATTGTGCTCGCCATGTCCGTCTGTCTGTCTGTCTGTCCGTTTGTCCGTCCGTCCGTGACCTCAAGTTTTCGTCGACGAGAAAATGCGCTCTCTGTCACTCACTGCAGTGGGTACTGAGTTATATTTTTTTATTATTCGGGGATTTGACTTCGGCACAGCAATAGCTTGTGTAATTATAAATTAAAATTTATCTTTTTAGCATAGAATATCACTTGTGTTATTAAATAGTGTTTGATTAGTGACCACTTTTCCCCTCTCAAATCTAATCTTCTTTAAATTACTTACCACCTTGCTGCTTGAACCTTGTCTTTGATGTTATTTCCGACACCAAAATTAAGGATATTTCACCCGAATAAATGTTAAGATTAGTGATAGATATCCATTTCGTCGGGTATTTGATGTTTTTTCTCTCGATAACTGGTAGTTTCTTGAACCTTTTTGTATTAGCTGCGGCGGGGGAAAGTACGTGAAAATCTTCCATTTTGTCACTTTTGATTCCCCCTTGTAGTACATATTTAGTCATCAGACCAGGGGATATTCAATGTACATTGTTCGTAACTTATTTGTTTGCAAATCGATGATATCTGAAGCTAATTCCACACTGATTTTGATTAAGTATTATGTTGCCAGGACTCGTACGTTATGTTTCTTGAAAACCACGGCACCAAATATCATGTTAGTATTCGAAAGTTAGTTTGCGTGACTTTGAAGGAACTTAAACAAAAATTGTATACAAAGTTGAAAGAATTTCCTAGTTTATCGGTATATTTAAGAATTGAGACGTTGAATTCAGAATGAATTTTCTACAATATGCACCTGAACGCATAGTGAGTGCTAATAAACACAATCGCAGACCCACGAGCACAATTGATGATATGACATATATATTGTCGATATGACACTGCAATGATTTTGTGGTATAAGATTCAAGTTATTCAGATTTTAACATCAAAGCGGCTTTGGTAGATTTTTGGAACTGTAACCAAGTCCGTAATAAGGGCATGACGTTTCACACAAACGAAATAATGAGAAAAACAAGTTTTTTTGTGATTATTAATTCAATAATTTCGTGTGCTCAGCTCGTATCACATAACAACCCAACAATGTTATTTGAGAAATACGTTTTCTGTACCATTTAGAATAAGATAGATAGACTCATGATAGATCCCAACAGTCACGCCGGCGAATATAAAATAAATAAAATTATTTTAATAACTCATCTATAGCCTGCAGCCATACTATTGCATCCACGCATGGTTAAATTAATATTTGTTTGCTATCAAGGACTACTACACACAGGACATGCATAGCCTATGTCCAGCCTCTGCTAGCAGAGGCGATCGCCTACACTATGAAAATGCTGTTGTTTTAGTGGCATCAACAAATGATATGCCCATAATTGTTTCATACTATAGTATTACAATTTGGCAAAAAGTCTATGGTTCTGACCAAGGACTACTACACACATTGTAATACTATTGTATGAAACAATTATGGGCATATCATTTGTTGATGCCACTAAAACACCAGCATTTTCATAGTGTAGGCGATCGCCTCTGCTAGCAGAGGCTGGACATAGGCTATGCATGTCCTGTGTGTAGTAGTCCTTGTTTGCTATATATTATTTATATAAACCAAGAGTATGAACATTCCAAAGCTGAATTTACAAAATGGTTTTATATACAAAGAAGAAAATAATAATAACGATAATAATTATCTTAACGAGATTATGAACATATACGATATCTTACGACTCTTCCTCGAAACAAGATGCTGACTCGCTTTCAATTATTTAATTTCTAATTATTTAATTCCCACCTAATTATTTATTAATTTAATATTTAATTCTCACCATAACTTCCTCGCACCCACATCTCGTTGTTAGGTCGTAATTAGAGGAAATTAAGTATTAACAGTAATGGTAATACCTTTCGTCTGTGATCATGTATAATGTAAACCTATTCTTAACTCGTGCAATTAGGATCTTCCTGTTCTTCTACTTGTTGAACTTGATGGAGTGAAATTATAGGATGTGATTGCCTTAAGAACCTCATACCTACATATGTGTCAATCCTATTGTTGGATCAGTGTTACCAAGTAGCCAATGACTTGTCAAACTTGTAAATCGTTGTCATTTATTATTGTAGTTCCCTAAACTTCATTGATTGTTAGTTAAGAGGAATTTCAGGACTGCCAAACGGAGTGACAATCCACATTGCTTTTAGCTTACGTACAACCTAAATTTCGTGTTAACAAAATAATATAAATGATATTTATAAACGAAAGAGTTTAATAGCACCCTGATAAATATATGTATTGGCCAAAGATTAGTGACGGTGTCGAATTTTTTGTGTCGACTGCATATAATGAAAAATCGTTTTTTGGTGAGTGACTTCTCTGCGAATTTGTGGTCGCTCCAGAGCTCACTAATTATTACAACACTTCTCTTTAACTTCACTTCTTGTTTGTTTGTTTGTCTGCTACAAATCTTATAATCGATATTTGACACACTTCTACCTGTCCAATCAATCTCAAATTTTGCACACGTGCTTTAAGTTGGTGACAATGCATGAATCAATTGACAGGATAAATAATTTTAAAAATTATTTTTTTTTATTATTAAAAAACTTATAACTTGCTACAAATCTTATATTCGATATTTGACACACTTCTACCTGTAAAATCGATCTGAAAATGTGCACACTTTCATAAAGTCGGAGACAATGCATGAATCAAATGAGAGAATTAATACTTTGAAAAAAAAAACTAAAAAAGAATTTGAATATTAAAGAATTTAAAGAAAATTTCTCAAATATTTATAAATAAAGTAAGAAATTCGGTGTAAACATGTAACACCGGAGACACTGGCCTCTTTCGAAGTGTTGCCTATAAAAATGGATTTTTAAATGCATATTTATTTTGACACGTAATTTTTACCGAAATTAAAAAAATATATTCCATGAAACAAGTGTCAAGCGAGGATATTCTATCCATTCAATTCGTTCGAGTTTAAGAGACTAAGCCAGTATTTATTAACTTCAGTTTGCTAAATTAGCGAGTCAAAAAGTTCGATAAATCTAAGTTATCCTCATAATCCCCTAGAGGGTTCTGTTGTGTAGGTATGCTATTATTGTTTAATATTTTATGTACCTATAAGACTGTCTCGTTATTGTAGTCAATGTTCATAGATAGTATCCCCACCGACCGATAATTTTTGCTATAAAATTTTTTTGAGTTATCTCTGCAGTATTTTTAACAGGCATGCCAGACTATTACATAGAAAAAATGAACAATATTCACACCCCACTAATTTTCTTCACATCAAAAAGTAATTGTATTTAGCCGGAAGGACCTTAGACAATGACGAATAAAATATAATTTTTTTCTGTGGATAGGCGGAAATTTAACTTATAACTATCAAATCTGAGGTTATTAGTTTTTATTCCACAATAATAAATAATTTGATTAATAAAATACACGTAATTATTAGTTTTTTTTTGCGATAGAAACACGAAGATTTTCAGAAAAACTCATGGTTTGAATTTCACAAACTTCGAATGGTTCGACCGCTGCAATTCAAATTTCTAAGTCTAGTACGAGAAATTTTGTTCAATTATATAATATATTTTATACTGTGCATTTGCCTATTGAAGCCGTAAACCGCAATTCGAGAATTAATTGGAAATTTTCATTGCCATATTTTTTAGGTGATTGCATGTACGTTGTAATAGGATTTCTGGGTTTATTGCTCAGAATTTTCATTTAAGTATAGCACATATTTTATTATTTCCATTCATTTCATCCTTGATGAAATTTCGGAAGCTTGTAAATGCAGAAAATGGTGTGATTGGTAGTAAAAGAAATGTTCGATTTATTCAATATAATTAACATATTCACATATGTACCAGAAAAATGAGGCCTATTATCAATATAATCATCTATGAATTTAACTCCAATGAAAAAACGCATTTTTGTAATCCTATACAAATAAAGTATAAACTAAATATTAAGACTTCTATTCTACATATGTAAAGCCCTACTGAAGCTCGAACGAAGGAAGGATTTACAAGTCATTTTCACGAGCGAGAACAATGCACGGGAGCGGTCAAATTTTCAGCTGCTAAACGGCACTTGATTCTGAAAGATTTTGTATCATTTTTGCGTGGGAAACTAATCGACTGTGAGGCTACTGCACTAATGTCACTAGAATTGTTACTCGAGTAAGAAACTGGTTCTTGACTGTTCAAATGCAAAGTTTGTGACCAGGAAAAATGTGGGGTAAGAGAAAAGTGATAATTCGATGAGGTTTTCTCAGAATGATAGGCAACTTTGTCTAGTTCAGAAACACTAAGCTGTCGAATGGCTTCTTCGTAGTTCGGTAATTCATTATCACCTGCTTCCAAATCTTGTAAAACTTGTTGAAAGTCTTGCGGTTTGTTTCCTTCGGTAAGTGTTGAGGTGGAGATGTGGAATATTTGGTTTGAATTATTTTCGGAAGCTATGTCAGAAGAGTGAGAACTTCTAGCTTCGTCGCTTTGTTGTCGATAGTATTCCTTGCCCCAACTTTTCTGGTATGGAGGCGGAGGGTCCAAATTCAAACGTGAAGTTCCTGAATGTCTGGCAGAAACTTGCGGCCTCGTAAGCAGACACCGCACTGAAATCGAGACTCCAACCACTACTAACAACAATATGAACCCTGTGAAAAAAGTATACATAAGGTCTTATAAGATCAACAGTCAGAATAAGATAGCAATTATTTCAAAAGTCAAACACAAGGACTGTTTGTCAGGTGGCTAATTTATGTAATGGTATGAATCTATAAAAATATAAATTCATTGATCCCACATAACAAATTTAGCTTCATATTTTCATATTTAGCTTCATATCATTCATATTGCTCAACTCAGGGATATCCAAATACTAATATTCCACATATAATTATGTCTCTTTCTGAAATCACCTAAATCTTATTATTTTATTAGAATTTGTTCGATTAAAGCCACTGAAACTAAATTTTCTACACCGCGTTTCTGAAGTGAGCATACCTGAGATAATGATGACGTAGTAGGCGAGTTCGACGCAATCGTTGAAGTAGAGCGCCAAGCCGATGGTCAGACCTACGACGGCTGCGATGCCAGTGACACCGAAGCCGAAATGGACCTGAAATTTCAAAACTTGAGTTACTCAACAGCTTTGATTTAGGTTACTCTTATAATTTTCTGTTGCAAGCTCAGTATTGGAATGAATCAAAGGTGTAATCGCTAACAACACTTTCTTTTCACAGGTTAGCAACGGTTTTTATACCATCACAATTCGAAAAGTTGAATGTAGTGAAATCCCATCAGTCAATTTTCGTTAACTATAGATTCATATTCAAGCACTATAGGAATGAGTGTGCTTTCCTACTAAAAGAAGTACCACAGCTTCAATAATTTCTATTAATGAAAAAGCATATACTTGATATCAGCAGCATTGCTGACGCATAGAAAGCTGACTGATATTTAGTCTTATAACTCTTCTTTCAACTTAGGCTAAACTTACGTAAGCGTTGACGGGCAAATATAATGAAAATCAACTAATGGTCGAGCAGCGAATCATCGTAAAAACCGAACTTATTTCAATCAATCGCTACGGTGGAAAGAATTTCATCCATAGATGCTTTCCCGTCTTCATTAAGCGGCAGTTCAATCTCTCTCGACTCGTCTGTACGACACCTGGAACAACAAAGCATAAGCTATATGTTATACACAAACATGTATCACTACAATATGTTACTTTATCACAAAATTTGCTTACATTAGAGAAAAACGAAGCGTTTGAAGACATTCTTTGACTTGACACGGAAATTTGTTTCAGTATTTATCCTATTAAATTGAATGAAATTTGTTGCTGACATTAAAACTGCTTTACAATATCAGCACGTCAGTATTTAAAGAGTTTGTACTCTCACTAATTATAAGCGCCACTAGATCACAATGTCGAAAAATAACTGTTAACTGAAATGTTTTTTTTTATTTGCGTGTCACAGATGGCGCTCGAAGCAAAGCAAACAGGAAAGTGAAGGGAGATTTTCGAGACACGAGCTTTTATCTTATTGACATCCATTATCAGAGCCGTAATCTCTCGTTATCTTGTCGCATGGGCTGATTTATGACACCAGATTGCGCCTCATAGTTCATTTATTGCTTCGTAAATGATGGGCATCACATACATGTTTAACAATTAAAATGGAAAAAATATATTTTCTTCGGGACTTGGAAATTATATTTGCAGCCAAATATATCAGATGAAAACATCGGTGCCAATATGACATTGAATTATGAGTGAGATATTCAAGCTTGATGATTTACTGAATAAAATTATAGTTTAGTTAACGATCGTCATTTATACGAAAACCTTGTTGAAATTTTTTTGAAACATCGGTATACGTGTATACGTTTGTTTTGATTTAATAGATTCAGCCGTGGTCTAAACTACTGAACTTAAGGTGATCCATGAATATTTATGAAGAGGAATATGAATTACGGAAATTTCAAAAATTATATTTAATTAGTAAGATATTTTTTGCTTATTAATATGTGAGGTAAAGACTGCCTCTTTCTCAAAATAGTCATCTTCAAGCACTTTATTATAGTAAAACATAGAGTTAATAATTTGTATAACATTTAATTTCCGTTTTTACACTTCTAATGTTTTTAATTTTTCATCTGAATGTGTTGAGGTGATCGATCTAAATTCAAAAACCATATGAAAGAAATGGAGAGTAAAAAAGTTTGTAAACCACTGGCCCAGCTCCAAAGACCTAACAGAAATTTTCAATATGCGTTTAAATTTGATATTATTTTGAACTTACCAGGAATTATCGGAGATATCCTCAAAAATTACCAATTTACATTATATAATAAGGAACCTTATGATACGTAATTACTCAATTTACTCTAACTTATAAAAACGTATAATGATTAGCCATTATTTGCACCGTGAATCATAAATGATATATAAAGGCTATGGTAATGAGGTTACTTGCCTGTAGCACTCTTGTATCAAGTTTTGGTCAAATAACACCATGTCAAATGTGAACGAAATTTTATTGCAGCCAAATAAAACCACACAAAATAAAAACCAAGTGAAATGTGAACGAAATGTTATTGCAGCCAAATAAATCCACGCAAAATCAATACCAAATCAAATGTGAACGAAATGTTATTGCAGCCAAATAAAACCACGCAAAATAAATAACAAGTCAAATGTGAACAAAATGTTATTGCAGCCAAATAAAACCACGCAAAATAAATACCAAGTCAAATGTGAACGAAACGTGTTTTATTTGTGTTTAGTGGTGCGGTGAACATAAACGCAAGTGAGCAAAAAAGGCGTAGTTTCGACATTGATTGTGGCCATTTAAGGGTTAACTGATTTACAATAAATATGCGATTTAAGTCCTAATCATGATCTAACTCAACTTAACTTGCTAGGGAATTCCATATAATCATGGCACAGTGATCACATGCAGTTCATCTTATTTTATAAGATAAATAATCTCCCTAATAAATTTACTCAGATTTATAGCTAATATCTTCGCTTGATAAACAGTTTAAATAGGGAGATGAAGTAACAACAAGGTTACAGGTCAATGAATATAGATTAACTTTTGCTAATTCGAATTTCATTTTGACTGCGGTAATCCACTGTCTTACCCATGAGCTGACCTCCAGGCAACCCCGTACACAATTAATTCTTTAGCGGGATAAAGTTTTCGCTCCGACAAAGATTAGTAAACGAAATAAATGCTAAAAAATTATTTACTAAAATAAATCTCTGCGCGCACAAAAATTTAAAACAATATCGATCGATCATCTTTTCATTGACTTGTTACACATGGAATCGACAAATGCCGTTCAGTAACGTTATAAATGATATATTGAGGTGATTATTACACGTCAAATTAGCAAATGATTGTGAAATAGTGAAATATTTCAGTAAAATATAATAATAATTCAGTATTTAAACATTAATTCAATATTGTAAATTATTGTGGTGGGAGATGTATGTGATGTACATAACAGACATGTAAGTTACATACATACTAGCCATGCACGTTATATAAATAATAGCCGTGCACGTGATGTAGATAATAGCCATGTACGTTATATACATACTAGCCATGTACGTGATGTACATAATAGTCATGTTCGTTATATATGTAATAACCATGTACATTATATACATAACAGCCATGTACGTTATACACATAATAGTCATGTACGTGATATACATACTAGCCATGTACGTGATATACATACTGCCATGTTGCGCTAACTATGAACGTTATAGACATAATAGCCATGTACGTTATATAAATAATAGCCATGTACATGATGTACATAATAGCCATGTACGTTATATACATACCAGCCATGTACGTAATGTACATAATAGTCATGTACGTGATGTACATAACAGCCACGTACGTGATATACATACTAGCCATGTACGTGACATACATACTAGCATGTACGTTATATACTGTACATAATAGCCATGTACGTGATGTATATAATAGTCATGTTCGTTATACATATACATATAATAGCCATGTACGTTTTATACATAACAGCCATGTACGTTATACACATAATAGCCATGTACATGATGTACATACTCGCCATGTACGTTATATACATAATAACCATGTGCGTGATGGACATATTTGCCATGTACGTGATATACATAATAGCCATGTACGTGATGGACATACTAGCCAAGTACGTGATATACATAATAGTCATGTACGTTATATACATACCAGCCATGTATGAGCATTCTATCCCGATACCTCGCATCTGGTTGCCTGATGGCATTTCTCTGTTGCGACATCATATGTTCGGCTCCGTTGATTACCGATACGATGAAAAATAATATTTAAAAAAGAAACTTGTAAATTCATCCGCATGTAAGGCTATTAAAATTGAAAAATCAATTTTATTTTCTATATATACTGCTATGTTCAACTTAAATTAAATTTTAATGTTTCTAGAAAAAGGTAGTGCAGCAAAAACATTACTTATGTTTTACCTATTAAATGCATTTGCCTCGCAACATTGATTTTGAGTTTCACCTAGTAACATTTAATGGCCTGTTGCTACGGGAATGTTTCATTATAAGTAATTTAATTATTAATTTTTATTAATACAATGCAATATTAATACAATAAAATAATAATACAATAATAATAATATTAACTATTAAAGTGACCTATGTAGTTTGCAATGAAGCAATCGACTTCGTTAACCAACATCTTGCTGTGAGTTAATATTAGGCTTTATTGAACTCTATACTAGAATGAGAGAATAATATTATACATATTTTAGATACAGGAAATATCAGGGATAAAAATATCATTTGTATTCGCTAAATAGACATTAATCCAGAATCGAAATTCTTATAACGCCTTCTAAGTACTATTCAATTGTACCTATTTCAATTCAACTGTACCTTTACCTATTGTACCTATACCTAAGTATCTATTTCATTTCAATTCAGAGCGAAACGGTTCACTCAAAAATATCGTAATTATTTATTTTCTGCACCGAGTATAAATTAAACACAATATGTTAGAAATGCATATATCTCTTGAAAGTTAGTAGCTTAGTTGCGGAGATAATATAAAAATTCTGTAAAATGGCAGTGAAGTAATTAAACTCTTTGCCGCCAATTATATTGGGGGGGGGGGTGGGTTAAATTTACATTTGGATTTTCTATTCGAAACAAATGATATTCAGTATTGATATAAAGGTGCAGGTGGTATAGCACTCCGTCTGTCCTCTGTACAGGTGGTACAGAGCTTCGTTTGCATGCTGTGCAGGTGGCANCATGCCGCGGCCATCGAAGTTATAATTGTCTCAGCATTAATCCCTGTCTCTTATACACATCTAGATGTGTATAAGAGACAGGTATAGCACTTAGTCAGCCAGCTGTGCAGATGGTATAGCTCTTAGTCAGCCAGCTGTGCAGATGGTATAGCGCTTAGTCAGCCAGCTGCGCAGGTGGTAAAGCAATTCGACTGCTGGCTTTTCAGCTGATCTTTGCTGAGCCTCAAAGGATTAACGAAGTCTCGTGGTATTTTATTATTTCTGTGAATATTTTATTGTATTCTAAACTCATTCCGCGACTGTTGTTATTAATTTCAAGAAGTGGTTCCGAGACAAGTACAAGAACCAGCGACTCGATGTTGGAAAATAAGTTGCTCTTAATTTTTCTCGTCAATTAAGTTATCGCGATCCAGCTCGTGCGGTCTTAATTTTACCTAAAATAATTTTGCTAATTTGTTTATGCTGAAAAGTTTCCTAAAAAATGAAACGGTTATTGGATGACGTGACAGCAGAAATAATTCGATATGTGAGCGTATATATATGAAAAAATTAGATCAGTACTCACTGCAGTGAGTGACAGGGAGCGCATTTTCACGGATTGTAGTCACGGACGGACGGACGGACATGTCGAACACAATAGCGCCTTTTTTCCGTAAATTAGGAAATGCACTAAAAAGGACAACAAAACATTGTGTTCCTTATTTCGCATGAAAAATGTCCAATAAAATATCTTATCTTAATCTTAAGCGTTGATCTTATCATCTTACGCTATTTCCGCCGATGAATTCTACGTCAGTGAAGTAGATGGTTGAGTTACTACAGGTTTAGTGACCAATAGTAAATTAGATAGATAGGCTGTATTGAGCACATTGAGAGGCCTACGTTAGCCCGAAGCTACGATAAAGGTTTCTGAAGACTCTCGAGCCTCTGTTGTTATGGGATTCTATCTCACCCAACTAGAAAAATTATCAGAATAATCAAGATTAGAACCCGATAAAGAAATTATTGGGCTTCGTGCGTCGTACGTGAGACATTCTTCTTACTTCAGGAAAAAACAATCACCTGAATGTCATCGGATAAATTGAACAGGACATTAGCTTTTAATTGCCATTCCTTGAGACATAATCACCATCTCGTTTAATGATAAAAAATGTTTATCCATTTATTTTTCA